GGGTGAAGTGATATAAAATTTGGGGGCTATTGCTGGCAATATGCCTTGTCTGTTGCCCTATAAAGCAAATGGGCACTGGTCAGTGACTGGTCAGTGACTTGATAGGCCCCCTCAAGGCTTGGGAGGGGGAATCTGTGTGTTTGCCTCAACCAGCCCCCATTGAGGCTTGAGGGGATTTAGGGATATGCACAAGTTGTACTGGTCTCGACCCCTTCGAGACAGAGGGGTCGTTGCCCCCTTCATGCCAGCCCCTGAGAGAAGGATTGTTAGGGAATGCTGTAGTAGTTGGTACTCCTATTATCAGTAAACTCCCTTTGAGAAGACTAGACTAGAATAAAGAAAGCTTATTTAACCCCTTATTATGACTTCATTCCTGTCTTTCTTCCTGACCAGATCAAAAGCGAACTTGCTAGTGAGAGATGTGCTAAAAGCCCTCCTGTGTCTTCTACCTAAGAAATGGCCGTAGTCAATGTGTTTACTTGTCCAACACAGAGGAACAAAGAAGGCCCATTGCCAGCAATAACAATTTTACATCACTTCACCCTTATATCCACCTCGATTGTGCAGTAGAAACTGTTTTGAACCATGATCATGAGAACTCATATCTAAGACCTGGGAAGTAGAGATTGTTATGGCTGTGGATCCTGGGAAGAAAATGCTAAGAAAGAATAACAAAAAATCCGCTTTACACACACTAAAATTCACCTTACTTACACCTAGACATAAGACAAAATGCTAGGGTCTAACACTGAGAAAGTGCCCTTAGTAGAGGAGGATGTGGAGCATCCTAGTCACCCCACCCTCAGGTCCAGGAGTGAGTGTCATTATATACCATGGACTTGAAAATGGACTTTATGTTTAGATTGGTTTCATCAAGCCTAATCAATTCTCAGTTACTAACACAGTGATAATGTTAAAAAACCTGGTGCCTACAGGGCCTGAAATCCATGAGGCTCATTTGTGGCAAGCTGCCTCTGCTTTGAACTTTGTGGAAATTGAGCCATCTCTTCCTGCCTAACCCTAAAATTTTATAGACACTTCCATACCTAATATTTGCATTTCATATTTCTTTTACATTACCCTCCTAGAACCAGATACATCTGAGTGAGAGCTCCCTTCCTCACCTTCCCCCTCCTCATCACCCTCAGCTGCATTTGTAAGTTTCTGTGCTATGGAAGTGATGAAAACCCATATTCGTCCATATTTTGACTGGGTAGAATGCTAGAGAGTTTGATATGCAAATCTAAGGCAACCTCTTTGAAGGATCACCACTGAACCCCCTTTCCTTTTCACTGGCATGAAGAATATCTCGCCCAAAATTCTGGTGACTACCCTGGTTTTATTTATTAATTTTTTAATTAATATTTTCTATTTCTTACAGAAGATGCCCTCACCCACTTTCCATGGTCCTGCCTCCAGTTGTTTCATGTTAGGCCTTATGCTTCCTTTTGTGTGAGTTAAAACATGCCTCAATAAAGATTCATTGCTTTATTCATCACTGGTCTGTCTGATTCTTTTATGAAACCTCCACTATGTCCCATAACATTGTGATAGACCATAGCAAACACTGATGAATAGGGGCATTAACATACGGTATTGAAATCTGTGTTTACAAACTTTCCATCTAGGTCAGTATAAGCTAAGTAGCCACAGCAGAATGGTCAGCATTAATTTGTAAACTATATTTTTTTAATCTGATTCTGCCTTAAAATCATATTGGCCACCTCTCAAAGGACCAGTTGGATGTCTTGATCTGGTTTTCTTGATTTTGGTATTATTTGGAAATACTTTTCTGTTTGGAATATTCCTTCTAGGGGCCAATATTAGTGAAAGTGACAGCAGGGAGGGTCACTTCCCCCTGGGAGAATAATCTCCTGAATCAGAAGGAAAGACACAAATTACTACCCCAATTTTATTATCCTTATCATAAGCAAGTCCTCTGAGATTCAGTGTTCACTAGTTATCTACAACAGTTTCCAAAGCACTTACCAACACCTTTTACCTCTAAATGAATGAAAGCAAATGACTTCACGTAGGACTTCCCTGTTTCAGGGATCCTTTAAGACATCAGTTCAGAGCACTATAATGACAAGCAGAGGTGCTTGTGTGTGTCTGCAACATGTCTTGGGCGTATGTTTCCAGAAAGAGAAACACTAAAAAGGAAGTAACTATACTCTCTCTGCTTTCAAGAATGGGGATGACTTCAGTTAAAAAAAAAAAAGAAACTTAAGGAAGGAAGGAGGAGAAAAGAATTGCACGTTCTTCTATGACCTCTCACAGGCATCATGAGATAGTGAGGCTCCCAATCTAGACCCTGGGGAAATTCCCCATTGGAGTGCAGTGATGATGGGAAATGACTCAAACCACCTATCATCCCATCAGGTTTCTGACCAGCTACATTACTTTACTGAGGAATAAATATTTGAAAAATTTTTGTAAGCAACTGATGCTAGTGAGGACCAGCCAGTTCTAACTGGCTTAAATTTTCTGTGAGTGTTTTCATCTTAGAAATTTTTTTTAAAAAGCCACAAATCAGAGCTTTGTTTTATTGATTGTCTAAATGTTGCTAATGCAGATTAAATTTAAAAGTATGTCCAGAGGACATATTTTTTTTTCAGAGAGCCAGTTGTTAAACTTTTACCTTGGCCCTGGGGTCATAAAATGTTAGGACTGGAAGAAACCTTAGGGATCATATAATCCAATACCTCATTTTAAGGGCAAGTCAACCAAGTAAACCAAGAATTAGAGGTAAATGGGATGGCCAAGATCACACATCTCAATTGTCAGAGTTAGGACTGTAACTTTTTAGGGTCCTAGTACTCTTTCCACTACACCACCCAGGGAGTAAATATTGATTGGTCAGGGCCTCACAACAAGGTCCAACACTTTGGTCAGGTTAATGAAAATCATATTGATATCTTCATTGTGTGGTTAAGTAAACTTTGCCTGTCATGAGGTGAAGACCATCAGTCGATCAACTGGTTAATCAGCTAACATATATCAAGAGCCTCCTATGCCCAATGCTGATACAAATACAAATACAAGGGTGAGGGATACAAATACAAAAGTGAGCAGTTCCTGGCCTCAATGAGCTTATAGTCTACTGGGAGAATGTAACATGTTCACATAATAAATACTGTGTGTGTGTGTGTGTGTGTGTGTGTGTGTGTGTGTGTGGCACAGACTCTGCAGCTGTTCTCCTAACCAGAGGTGGGGGACCTGCAACCTTGAGGCCACATGTGGCCCTCTAGGGTCTCAAATGTGGCCCTTTGACTAAATCCAAACTTCACAGAACAAATAAATTTGGATTCAACCAAATTATTGACTTGAGGACCTAGAGGGCCACCTGTGGCCTCGAGACCACAGGGTCCCCACCGCTGTACTCCCCACCTCTGTACCCCTACTTAGCCTGGCAGGCTGAGTCCTAAAAGGTCTGATGACCAAGATTCTCAGCCAACACAGCCACTTCTCTGTTGTACCAAGGATGTGTTCAAACCTATCAAACAGAGTGTGTTCTCACATGATACATGTATGAGGGCTTGGCATCTTATCATTTACTGTAAATACAGCCAGTTGTTTGATTTATTCAATCATTCCTTCTCCCCTTACATAAGGAATAAATACAAAGTGTTTTTGTTGGGGTGTTTATGGAAGGGGGAGATTTGCAACTGTAAGAATCAGGAAAGGCCTGTTGAAGGACTTCAAGCAGGTTCCAAATGTTGGAGGCAAGGAGAAAAAGCACTCCAGGCATGTGGTGGGGAGGGTGGCTTAGTATGTGCAGAGACACAGAGGTGAAAGATGGTATGTTGCATATTCGGAAGAATGAGCAGACTATGTCTACAGACTCTTAAAGATGCCTGAATACAGACTCTTGAAGGGAGATCTTTTTATCATGGCTGACCTAAATCAATCACCTAATTAGAACTGTGGCAGAATTAAAAATTCTAATTGAATGGTGGTTTATCCTCAAAGACATCACTCTTAACTGAGTCACAGCATGAGTCAGAACCTCTGAAGCTTTCCTAGGATCACTGTTTGTGACCTGTACTAAGGGAAAGAAACACAAAGCAAAAGAGGCAACTGAGGACTTGAGACCCAGTCTCTGGTTCAGCCAACCAGCATTCATTTAGTGCCTACTATTTGGCAGCTAGGTGGCACAGTGGATGGAGTGCCAGCCCTGGAGTCAGGAAGCCCTAAGTCCAAATCTAACCTCAGACACTTACTTGCTGTATGACCCTGGGCAAGTCACTTAACCCTGTTTGTCTCAATTTCCTCATTTGTAAAATGAGTTGGAGAAATAAATGGCAAACCACTCCAGTATCTTTGCCAAGAAAACCCCAAATGGGGTCATGGAGAGTCAGACGTGACTGAAATGATTCAACAACAAAAGGGCAGCTAGGTGGCCCAATGGATAGAGCACTGGTCTTGAAATCAGGAAGACTCGTTGTGAGTTCAAATCTAGCCTAAGTCAGACACAACTGAAAAATGACTGAACAATTAGCCAGGAACTGTGTTGAGTAATGTAGATACAGGTTCACTGCTGGGTAGCTAGTGCTGGGGTGGGGAAGGGGAGAAAAATCACTTCCCACCCCTTACTAGAAGGAAAACTGACATTGTCATGATCCAACAGAGAGAGAGGATTAAGGGTAATTATTACTTCATTAGTCACCAATCCTCTTTGACTTAGTCCCTTTTACCTATCATGAGGACCAAAGAAGCAACCAGGAGTCAGTGGATTCACATGTCCCTTAGAAGATGGTCCACAGGAAGGGGCCAAGGCACAGTCCCATCCCCACACATGCTCCATAGGAAGTACTCCAAACTAATTCCCTGCTCTGTTGGGATGGGCCAAAGAACTATAGCTCATGATGGAGGCAATTGAAATGAAAATATTGGGGAAATAGGGAAATTCCTGGGTTTAGAGAAGGAAGTGACTGAGCAAAGTGAGATGAGGCAAGACGTGGTGGGAAAAAAAGTTGAAGGCCTCTATAAAGGAAGTTTAGCTCTTGTTCAAGTCACTTCTCAGCTTTGTTCCTGGAATTGCCCTCTTCCTTAGCTCAGAATGATTCTCAAGGTATGATTATGTTACAGACTATTTCTTTTGGTTTGATTTTCATCTCAACTCTTTTTTCCAGTTATGTGATGTTTTTGCTTTGAAAATGGCATTTTACTTTATTTAAATGGAAACTCTGATTTATAGATCACTCTCAAATATTAGTTATGCTTATATGTTTATATGTTTTCCCCCCAATAGAATATAAGTTCCTTGGGGAAGTAAAACTTTTTCATTTGTTTTTTCTGTATATTCTGTGCCTAGCACAGCACCTGACAAATAGTGAATATATAAGTGCTTATTGATTGAAAATTGAATGCATCTTTTTCTTCACCTGATACTATAAGTAAAAGGGACTCTTTTTTTTTAAATTGAGACAATAAATAGACATGATTTATTAAGAAGTTAGTCAACTCATATGTGTAATGGGTTTCATATTTCTTATCTTCTCAATAGTTGGTGAAAGACTGGAGGGAAGGAGAGAATTCAGAACTGGAAATAAAATGCTTGAATTAAAAAGAGATTAGTCAACATAGTGTTACTTATTTTTTACTTTGAGCATAGTTTTTATTGTTGTTTTCAATAAACATAGGACCTAGAGTGGCTGGGAACCTTAGAAATAGCCTAGTCCAACCCATCTCCTTTATCATAGGATGCGGCTGAAGTCCAAAGAACTTCAGTGTTTTGCCCAAGGCCAAACATGTAATGAATAATAGAGCCAAGATTAGAACCCAGACCCTTTGACTCTAGAACCAATGATTTTCCATTTTACCACCCTGCTTTCTCAGCTGACAAGGAAAAATCAATCAGATGCAAAAAGTTATTTTGAAGATAAGAGGGAGAAAGTTAAGTTCCCAAGTTGTTGAGTGTCACTTATTTCTTTCTCTTCATCTCATTTTTCTTAATTTCCTGGCCATTCCCTTTAGGGCCAATGTAGGGTTACTTGTCCTTTGGAAGCATGAGATGCCTTGTAGCATAGTGGAAAATGAATTGGTCTTGGAGTCAAGAGAGACCCGAGTTTTAATGCCATCTCTATTATATGCTCCCCACGTGGCCTTCAGCAATCCATTGAACTCTTAACTCTAGTTTCCTCATTTGTAAAATACAGGTGATAATACTTAACATAGCTCTGTCACTTAGTTGGGGTGGGGGGGAGGGAGAAAGCACTTTATAAACTGCCAAATGCTATATAAATATGAATGACTATGTTTATTTAAAGACTTCTAAGCAGGCTTCTCTATGGAGTGGCTGCCTGCAGTATTGATGGCATCACAGAGTTGGAGTAGGCATATAACAACCTACTCTGAGATCCCACTTTTGTATCTACTCTCCCACTGTTTTCCAAATGGAATGGACTTTTCACAAAGTAGTGAGTTCCCCATCACTGGAAGTTCTCAAGAAAAGGCTGGAAAAACACTTGTGGAGAATGTCATAGAAGAGATTCATACATCAAGCAAGGTTTAGACTAGACCAGGTTAACCTCCTATATTCCTTCCAGCTCTGAGGGTCTATGATTTCTCTGATTGAACCTCATCATATGAACACCCAACTCTTCCCCACATAGTAGTGCCATTACTGATAGCTTGTTCCAGTAGAGAAAAAGAGGAACTCTGCGCTATCACTAGCCAGCTCTAACGTAAAGATACAATTGGAAAGAGAAAGCATGTTTTAGAACTGCATTTCCCAGAAATAGACACAGATATGTTGGTAAATCTCCAAAGTGGCTACTATCACAATAATCTCTTCCTCTTTTCCCACTTTAAATTGGGTTTGCAGTGATTCCAGAGCACAAAATGGGAATGCCTCCCACTTTGCCTTTTTTTTTTAGGCAGTTGGGGGTAAGTGACTTGCCCAGGATCTCACAGCTAGTAAGTTTCAAGTGTTGGTCTGAGGCTAGATTTGAACTCAGATCCTCCTGACTTCAGGGCATGTGCTCTATCCACTTCACCACCCCGCTGTCCCCACTTTGCCTCTCTTGAGGCAGCTGGTGGAATGACACTGGACCTGGCATCATGAAGACCTGAGTTTAGCCTCAGACTAGCTGTGTGACCCTGGGCAAGTCACAACTTCTGTTTGCCCACTTCCTTAACTGTAAAATGGAGATAATAATAGCTCCTATCTCACAGAATTATTGTAAGGATCAAATGTTTGTTGTGGTTGTTGTTCAGGTTTTCTGACTCTTTGCAACTCCATTTGAGATTTTCTTGGCAAAGATAATGAAGTGGTTTGCCATTTCCTTCTCCAGTTCATTTTACAGATAAGGAAACTGAAGCAAATAGGGTTAAATGACTTGCCCTGGGTCACACAGCCAGTAAGTATCTGAGCCTAGATTTGAACTCAGGGAGCTGAGTCTTCCTGACTCCAGGCCCAACACTCTATCCACTATACCACCTAGATTCCCTCAAATCAAATGAGATATTTGTGAAAGGGTGCTTAGCACAGTGCCTAACACATAGTAGGCACTGTAGAAATGTTCATTCTCTCCTTCCTTTCCCTAGTGTAGTGAAAAGAGCACTGGCTCAGGAATCTGAGTACCTGAGTTCAAATCCCAACTTTGATGCTTATAATCAATATGACTTTGGGTAAGTCATTTAACTCCCTTCAGCCAGTAAAATGAGGGATCTGTAAAATGAGATGGCCTCTGAACTCCCATCCTACTCTAGATCTATGATCTTCTGACCTATTGTCCCTCAGCCCCATCTCAGAGACTTCCCTGAGAAAATCCCAACACAACAGCCTCCACTAATATCAAGGCTTAAAAATAAATGAATAGTAACTCATCATATAACAACAAAAGACACAGCGACCTATACGTAATAGGTAATTAAAAATGCCTATTTAATGAAAATGTTAGAGACAATTGGCTTAGATTTAGAGAATCTGGAGTTGAGACAAGTTCATGGACAAAACCCTTAGATCTAGAATAGTCAGTCATTGGGATTGGGGCCATTTGTGGTGGTGTTCCACTCGCTGGCTTCAAAGAAACGAGACAATGTATGGGGATGGGAGTTAGCATGGTCTGCTCACAAATGCAGGTATACCTCATTATAGATAATTAGTGTGTTCTTAGAAAACTACATGCAACTAAAGGAAGTTGAACTCTGAATAATTATACTGACCAATCTTGGTCTCAGAGAATAGATGATACATCCCTTCTCCTGGTAGGGACACAGGAGGAATATGCCACATCCAAAAGGGCACAAATAAAACTTGTTTTTGAAAAGTATGCAAATCAAATCATATTTTAAATTCATTTAAAACAGGAAGTTTACATTAAAAACCTCATCATGGTTCTTTTTGTAAAGCAAAGGACCCTTGTGAAATAGAGATAATGATCTCAATCTGTTATGTAAGGATTTCAGCACCTTAGTGAAGTGGGAAATACATGAGACAACCGTGATCAAGTCTCAGCTCTGCCATAGCCATCTGGGTGGCCACAGACAAGTGGCTGCACCAATCTGTGCCCAAGGCTCCTTCTTTGTAAAAGGAGGGCATTGGATCTGGTGATTTCTAAGGTTGCTTCAAACACTCAGATTCTGAGCCTACAATTTGTTAGCTCTGTATGTTACATTCACTAGGAAGGGGCACATACCTATAAGTAAAAATGGTAACTCCTCTTGTAGGAGTATGAAAGAATAAATGCACAATACTAGCAGCTCATTGAAAAATCTTTCCTTTTTAAGTCCATCACAGACAGCTTTGCCAGTGTCATCCATGGCCTAAATGTACAGCATCTGACAGACCAAGTCCTTCAGAGAAGCAAAAGGATGATCCTGGACACTCTGGGTGTTGGCCTACTGGGAACCAACACAGAAGTCTTCCACAAAACAGCACAGTATAGTAAAGTAAGAGTTCAAAAGTATATATTAGAGGGGCGAGTATGCCTGACAATTAGTGTAATGCAATATAACATAACATAGCATAGTATAATAAAATATAATGTGATGTAATATAGAGGGGCAGGACATTGTGGCACACAGGGCTTGGAGACAGGAAGATGTGTGGTCATGTCCAACCTCTGATATATTCTGTGTGACCATTGACAAATCACAACCTCTCAGTGCCAATAGCAAATGTTCTACCCTTCCCCAAAAACCTTCCCCTGTACGTAACTTGCATGTTCCTCTCAAGGGCACCACGATCCACTGAGTCATCCTGGCTTCCAACCGAAGTGTCATCCTAGACTACTCACTCTTTCTTACAACCCCATCTCCAAAATGTTGCCAAATCCTGTAGATTCTACTTGGACAACATCTCTCCCATATGCATCCCCTTCTCTCCTTTGACATGACCATAACCCTGGTGAAGGATCCCATCATGCCTGGACTACTACAATAGCTTTCTTGTTGGTCTCCTGCCTCAAGCCTCTCCCCACCATATCCTATCCTCTACTTGGCTTTCAAAGTGATCTTCTTAGTATGAGTTTTTACCATGTTGCTCTCCCTATTCAGTAAATGCCAGTGGCTCCCTATTACCCTAGGATCAAACAAAATTCTCTGTTTGGCTTTTAAAGCCTTTCATAACCTGGGCCTTTACTATCTTTCCTGTCTTCTTATACTTTATTCACCTCTATGATGCAACGACACTGATCTCTTTGCTGTTACTTGAACAAGACACCCCATCTCCTGACTCTGGGTTTGTTTTGGTTTGGTTTTTTGTTTTGGTTTTAACCAGTTGTGCACTATGCCTGAACCACACTTCCTCCTCATCTCTGCCTCCCAGCTTCCCTGACTTCCTTTGAGTCTCCACTAAAATTTCACCTTCAGCAAAAAAATCTTTCCCAATCCCCTTCAATGGAGAAGGGGAAGGAAATAAACCTCTATATAGCATCTGCGATGTGCCAGACACCACTGAGTACCCTGATAAATATTATCTCATTTGTCTCTGCAAGGTAAGTGCTGTTATTATCCCCAATTTACAGATGAGGAAACTGAGGCATTCAGAGGTTAAGAGACTTGCCTGGGTTCACACAGCTAGTATGTGTCTAAGGACATTTTTGAACTCAGGTCTTCTTGATTCCAGACCCAGAGTTCTATCTACCATACCACCCACTGAATCCAATACTACCTCCACATGTTTCCCAATGTTGAATGTCTTCCCTCTGGTAATTATCTCCAAGTTATCCTGTATATAGCTTGTTTACATATTGTCTCTCCCTGTTAAACTATGGGCTCCCTGAAAGCAAGGACTATTTCTTCCTTTCTTTGTGTGCTCAGCACTTACCACAGTGCCTGGTATCACATAATTGGTACCAAAGAAATACTTGTTAATGCTAAGACTATAAATTTCAGACAAATTGGTAAACTATATCAGTAAAATCAATAGAAGTAGTTTATGTAATTTCTTTACACCAGTGAGATCACAGATATAGACAAAAACCATTCACACATATGTGATTATATATGTGTGTGTGTGTGTATATATATATATATACATGCATAATACATATAAGATCTGGAACATGCATATATACATGTGGGTGTGTGTGTGTGTGTGTGTGTGTGTGTGTGTGTGTGTGTATACATACCCACACAGGGTTTCCCAAAACTCTTTCTTTTTTTTGGCTAGGCAGTGGGGTTAAGTGACTTGCCCAGAGTCAGATGCTAGTAGTAAGTGTTATGTGTCTGAGGCTGGATGTGAACTCAGGTCCTCCTGACTCCAGGGCTGGTGCTCTATCCACTGCACCACCTAGCTGCCCCTGTCCCAAAACTCTTAATGCAATTTTAAGCTTTAATAGCTTAAATACACACACACACACACACACACACACACACACATAGTCCAGATCCATGATAATATAAAAGTTGAGTTATGATATAGCAACATATACAACATATAGAGTAAAAATAATAAACATATCTATGATACAGCTACATATACAGTGTGTATGTACAGTGAAAAATAATAAGCTTTGTATATGTTATAGACATATCTCTAGTATTAATATAATGCTATACAGGCACTTATTTGTTGTTTATACAAATATGTCCAGCATGTCTATGATAATAAACATTGTATCACAGAGACCTGTTTCTATAATATAGGCATTTGGAGTATTATTTTTTGGACCAGATTTGTGACTTCATAGATATAAGGAACTCCCCATGTAATGAGGAAGCTCCCTCTACCAAAGCAGATTGGCATCTTCTTTGTACTTCGAAGTCTTAAACAGTTGCCTGAAAAGTATATCTATGAAGGGGAAATACATATATGTGTATATATACACATATATGTGTGTGCCAGTGTGTATATACGCATACATGTAGATCCACATGTGTGTGCACATGTATATATGTATGTTTACACACATATTTGTATATATAGTAACCTGCATATTTATAATAATATATTACATAATACATTATTGACAATATGCCTATAATAAATAAAATCTGTTTAGAGTCACCTTGGCATAGTGAATAGCGAGCTGGTCTCAGAATTAAGAAGACTTGGGTCCCAGTCTCATCTCTGCCACAAAATGGATGTTGGATGCAGGGCAATCACTTAGCCTCTTAGTGTTCCATGCCCCTCTCTGAAACTAAATTGCAGAGCAGTCCCAATCTCCAGTAGCAGAGGAAATTCCTCACCAGGAGCTCCTTAGGCTGATACAATTGCAGGTCTAGTTTAAAACACACACACACACACACACACACACACACACACACACACAAAATACATACAATAAAAACATATATATAGTAGGTATAAATGTCTAGGATCATCAGCTTAGAACTGAAATTTTTAAAAAAGAATGTGCAGATAAGTCAAACCTCTCTATGCCTCCCATTGTCTGCATCGGGAACTTATATGAGAGGCTCACAGTCTTCTCTAATCTAGATGTGAAGAAGGAATTGTATAATCCCCTGGGCCAAAGAAGAAGAAATTTATGGAATGTGGTTTACATTTGTCATCAAAATTTGTTAGACTAACAAATGCCAGCTAGTATTATTATTGATCTTATGTTCCCCATCTATAAAATGGGAATAATAATTGTACCTACCTCATAGGATTATTGTAAAGATCAAACAAAATAAATATGTAAAGCACTTGCAAACCGTTAAAAAAAAAATTGTTAGACTAGTGACCCCAATCATTAAAGAGGAAGGAGCAAGCAAGAGACAGGCGGTGACCTGCTGCCCCAGTTTGACTCTTCTGCTTTTGTTCCAGATCTACAGTAGTGACGCCTCCAGCTGCGTCTGGGGACGGCCAGACCTCAGGCTCCCACCCACATATGCCGCTTTCGTGAATGGAGTTGCTGTAAGGATCTTTATGTAGCTTTTCAAGTCTCAGATATTCAGTATCATCAGTTTTTGTCTCTGTTGTTTCTAAAGCTTTTAAAATAAGCCCTTTTAGAAGCTTCAAAGGATAGTTAACTATGAACAGATGAAGCCAAGGACTTGGGGAAAAGGAGGCTTTCATGAAGTACAGAACACTCTTAGGATACCCCAATGATAAGTCTGGACTCTTTCTCCAGATCTCTGTGGCAAAAAAAAAAAACCTCAATGCCAAAGCACTTCATCTAGTGGGAAACATAAGACTGATACACACACGGTAACAACCATAAAAGGAAACCTAAGATAATCTTACAATGGGTGATGTCGATACCATTAGAGGATTTCAGAATGGAGGGAAAGCATTTTTGGCAGGGGTAATCAGAGAAAGCCGCATGAAAGAAGTAGCATTTAAGCTTGGCTTTGAAAGGTCTCAATGGTTGTAGGGAAGGGGGTAGGTCAAAGGAACAGACCCTGAGTAATATTGTGTCTAATGCCAGCACTGCAATGAGGAAACCTTGATCTTGAAACTGCTTCAGACTGATACAAGTTATACAATCATGGACAAGTCTTTTAACCTCTCAAAAACTACATTTTCTTCATCTGTAAAATGAGTATGACAATACTTGTGCTTCCCTTTCTTAGGGTTGTTGTGAGGATAGCACTTCAACCAAAGTGTCATATAAATGTGTTTATTATATTACATCATATTATATAATCTAGTATTTCAGAAACAGTGAGTAAAGGAATTTGACTGGAGGTTAATTTTCTATGTGGTAGTAGTTGGAAGAAAAACTGGAAAGGTAGGTTAGGGCCAGATAACAGAAGGTCTTGAATGCTAAGTTACAGAATTTGGACTTTATTTGGTAGGTACTGGGGAGCTATTGAAGATTTTTTTTTTTAGCAGGGCACTGAAATAATCAAAGCAATGGTTTAGGAAGATGGCATGACAGCTTAGAGGTGTAAAGATCCTGAAAGCAAGAAGACAAATTAGAAGACTTCTGCAATGAGTCAGACATGAGTGATGATAGATGGCTAAGCAGTGCAGTGGGTATGGAAAAGAAGGGATGGAGTGAAAGATTATTAAGGAAGAAATAGCTGGACTTGTCAATTAACTTGATGCAAGAGGTGAGGAAAGAGGAAAAGTCAGAAACAACTACAAGGCTTCAATCCTGCATGAGCTGAGCAGTGAGAAAGGGAAGTCTCTTTAAGGGAGAAAATAGTGAGTTGTTTTATAAATGCCCAGTTGCAGATAACAGCAGGACATCCAGGTAGAAACATCCAGGAAGAATTTGGAAATGAAACTTATAAGCATGACAATATCCACAAAGATTTTATTTGAGAAGGCAGTGTTTGGAGTTGGAAGTATTTGGACTAGAAGAAAAACCATCCACTTCCTTTCTCTGGATGCACCTTTTTCTCACCCCATCTCTTCTGAGACTAACTTTCTCTCTAGTCACTGTGATTAGCACTCCACCTTCTGGGAGGTGCCTCTTATATTTATACAGGAAGAACAAAGGGACCTTTGAGGTATTGTAGGCGGCTGTCCATGAGTTTCTGATTTACCAATCCCCTAATTATTTCATTTAGTTCTCGTGTGCCCAGGGTAATTCATGAGTGGCCTGGGTTCATTTTTGTCTCTGTTTTTAAGAAGTTTAATAATATGCTTTCAAGAAAACTCTCTTTGGTCCCTTCAAGTTCCCAAATAGGGGAATTTTCCCTCTTCCTCTTCCTTTACACTTCCCTCCTTCTCTCCCTTTTTGTCCCTGCCTCTCTTTCTTCATGCCCCTGTACCCCTTCCCTCTCCTACCTTTCTCTTCCTCCTTACCTATCTTCTTCTCCTCTCTGTCTCTGTCTCTCTCTCTGTCTCTCTGTCTCTCTCTCTCTCCCTCCCTCCCTCTCCCCCTCTCTCCCTCTCCCTCTCCCCCCATAATCTCCCTCTCAGCTGTCTTTGAGTAAATTAAATACATATAGACTAATAACATTTTGGGGTTAACCACAGATTTCTCTTAATACTGGCTATAAAAGACTAGTAAGGGGAAAGATACAAAAACTTTAAACAAACATAGAAAAGTTTTAAAACACTGTTCCAGGTGGTTTCTTCATTACAAAATTTGGACCCAGGTCTTCTGAATTCTACCCCAATCCACACCATGCTCCTTCCTCAGACCTTAATGAAAATTTAGAGAACCTAAGATAAAATCTCAGCTCTGACAAAGTTGTCTTTTTCTCTGTTGTTTTTAGTGCATTGGGATTGAAGTGAACTGAATCTATGTATTTGTGTGTGTGTGTGTATGTGTGTGTTTTTCCTATCCTACAAAGGTTCATTCAATGGACTTTGATGATACATGGCACCCTGCTACACATCCTTCAGGGCCAGTACTTCCTGTCCTCTTGGCTTTATCAGAAGTCTTACCTCAGAATCCCAAGGTCTCTGGACTTGACCTGCTGCTGGCTTTCAATGTTGGAATTGAAGTACAAGGTCGATTAATGCGTTTCTCCAAGGAAGCCAGTGACATACCAAAGAGGTATGGAGAGAATTTGTCCCAGAGTTAGGCAAAGAGTTGTCTCACTCTTTGCTTCGTTTACAAAATAGTTGATTTTTTTAGGGCTCTGATCTCTATTAAATTTATCTAATGCTAAAGGCTAATTTTAACCACCAGGTGGCATTGCTAGCCACTATCCTAATCTTATTTATCAAAAAAAGATCAGCTATTAGCAAATGCTAACACATAGTAGGTACTTAACAAATGCTTATGGACTAACCAATTCATTCACCTGACCATCATAAATGCTATACCCCTTAAGGGAATTGCTGGTGAAATGCAGGGGGTTTTTTTTTTTGGTTTATCAAGAGTGAGTAATCCCCAGGTCCACTTCTCTCTGAGTGGCTACGCTCTTCTCATTAACCAAAGGGTGAGATCAGGGAGGATTTACCTAATCAGAATAGATCTGAGATTTCTTACCTACCAGAAAACCTTGCCTTGCTCCTAAACCTGCTGCATTTCACTGAGCTCTAGTCATGTGCTCATAATGGAAATAGCCCCCATTATAAAGAAATGTGAGGAAACTATGTGGTGTTTTGCCCTTTTATGTAGTAATCAATAAGAGAAATAAGTATTCTATAATAGAAAATCAGTCACACAGCTGGAGACCCTTCTCCTAAACCCAGTATCCCCCAGTGTGTAAGCATTCTCTTTACTATGGAGTTGCAGGAAAGACACAGTTCAGTTTATTTAGAGTCTCCACAACCATACTTCCTGCATATAGGGAAAGACGTAAAGAGAATCTAACATAGTTCACATTTAACTGTCAACTCATAGTATCTAGTAGGGCCAGCTATTAGATGAAGGAATGTTAGATCTGGGTCTCGGCTCTTCCTCATGGCACAATGGATGGTGTCAGGGGAACCCTGATGCAGAATGAACCTCCTACAACCAATGGTTTTCCATTTAGTGTCCTTGGCAGGAACCTCCAACTGCTTTTTGCCAGGGCTAACTATGGAATGGTACAGTGGTAGGCAAGGGCAGACCTGACTAAAATACCCTCATCATCATGCCCCCACAGACCTTCTCTTTGACCTTATCTGTAGTACTTCCCCATTGACAGTCCTGTCTGCCTCATTTCCTTCTAAGATGTTCCCTATTGACTAGTTACTAGAATTGATGCCAAAATCCCAACTCAAATTCCCTAGAGATTTTTCTTTCACCATGTATTTGAGCATGCAAGATATTGGCTCACCTTTCTAAGTTACTGCCTGCCCTGTGTTTTTAATAATCCCCTGCAAGGGGTTTTAGCCATCTCTAATATACCACAATTAACTGGCCTGTTCTGTGCTGTGCTTTCCAGATTCCATCCACCAAAAGTTGTGGGTACTTTGGGCAGTGCCGCTGCTGCAGCCAAGTTTTTAGGGCTTGACCAGACAAAGTGCAGAGAGGCTATGGCTATTGCCGTCTCCTATGCAGGCGCACCCATGGCAAATGCTGCCACACAGACCAAACCTCTCCACGTCGGCAATGCAGCCAGGCATGGGTTAGAAGCTGCTTTCCTGGCTTTGCTGGGCCTGCAAGGGAACCAGAAGATCTTGGACATAGAGGCAGGGTTTGGGGCCTTCTATTCCAACTACACCCCACAAGCCCTACCAGCTTTGGAATCTTACACGTTGTTGCTAGACCACCAAGATATAGCCACCAAGCGATTCCCTGCCCACTTAGGAACACACTGGGTTGCAGATGCAGCTGCTTCTGTGAGGAAGTACTTGCTCCCCACTGACAAGATCAAAAGAATTGTGCTTAGAATCCCTGATGTCAAATACGTGAATAGGCCTTTCCCAGTTTCAGAGCATGAAGCCAGGCACTCCTTCCAGTTCATTGCCTGTACTATGTTGCTTGATGGTGGCATCTCAGTCCAGTCTTTCCACAAGAGCCAGGTTGACAGGCCTCAGATAAGGGAGCTGCTTGATAAAGTAGTGTTGGAGTACCCTCCTGACAATCACCCTAACTTTGATACACTCTACTGCGAGATGAGCATCACCCTTGAGAATGGAAATACCTTCACGGAACGCTGTGATACTTTCTATGGTCACTGGAGGAAACCACTGAACCGGGAAGACTTAGAAGAAAAATTTAGAGCCAATTCTTCCACTGTGCTCCCCTCTGAGGCAGTAGAAGGCATTATAAAAACAGTGAACAGATTAGAAGACTTAGAGGATTGTTCTTTGTTAACCACATTTTTAAAGGGGCCATCAAAGAAGACTTCAAATTGTATTCAGCATGTACTCTCCAATCATAGCCTCTCTTGATACTTCCAAAGAATTGAAGGGTTTTGATACTTTAAAGATTCATAGGATCATAAATTTAGAACTGGAAGGGCTCTTGGAAGTACATTCAGCACACTCCCCACATTTTACAGACAAGGAAACTGAGGCACAAAGAGGTTATTTGCCCAGAGTCACACAACTAGTAAGTGTCTGAGATAGAATTTGAACTCAAGTCTTCTTGACTCTAAATATAGCACTCTGTCCACTATACCTCTCAGCTGCCATGATTTAGTAATTGCTTTCAAAGGGCAAGCACCTGAAACTTGGGTTCCTTATCAACCAACAAATTAAATAAACAGTGTTAAATCAAGCAAGACAAACTTAATTTCAGACATAAGTCTCACTTGGCATATATGGAAATGGCAAGTTTACCTTGCTCTGTCAAAAGTAATGGACATATTTCTTAAGGCAACATGAAAAATTTGCAAGGTAATGTACACATTGCTCAAGACAACAGGAGAAAGTTGCAAGACATTCATACAATCACAGGATCATAAATCTGAAGATGGAAGGGACCTCAGAGCTCATCTAGTCCAAACACTTCATTTTACAACTGAGGAAACTGAGGCACAGGGAGTATGTTACTTGCCTAAGGTCACACAGGTAGTGTCAGAGGCAAGAAGGTAAATAAAACTTAGTCCAAAAGTGCCTTGCCAGCAAATTTAGCCACATCCAAACAGTTTTACTGACTGATGGACTTTCAAGAGCTCCATATCTGGGGAGAAATGTCAATACAATAAGCTATTTCTTAGTCTGAGGGAACAGTTCTACAGCTTCCTCCACCAAGAGAATTCTTAATTAGTCCCAAGACTTGGCAAGACAGCCTGGTAGCCAGATACAGAGATCTGCATGCTTAGAAGTGAAGATCCAGGTAATAAAGCTATAGAGGAAGTTGTGCAAAGCACCAGATGAGTGAGTAATCAGAACCTATCAATTCCTAGAGAATTTAGGCAAAAATTACTTAACTTTTTGTTCCCTCCCACTTGTAAAGGTTGACATTTAATTACTGCAAAGTATAGTCATGCTTTCAGCCTGATTTTGTAAAAAAAAAAAAAAGGTATTGATAATGTACTTGATAAATATGCCCTGTGTAGACACTCTGAGCATATTCTGTCCCTTAATATTTCCATGCTTGTTTTGCATGTTCATTTACAGTTGGTTTACATATGTATTTTTTCTTCTCAATTAGATTATACACTCCTCCCGAGCAGGGACTTTGTATTGTTTCATTTATATCTCTTTCCCCCTCCTCCTCTGATAGCCCTCAATATCCGAACCCCTAGCCCTCAGACTTAACCCTTCTAGCATCTTGTAATTGCTTTCTCATCACTTAATAAATTTTGTTATTAACTGTCACCGTCTACATTTTCTCACAACTCATTCTAAAGAAGAAATTAAAACAGCCACCTTACCCAGAAGGGGAAAGGAATCAAAAGAATATAGTGTGATTTATTAGCCAGAATACTTTAGGCTAACAAGACTGACATAGATACATACCCCTGCAAACAAAACATGTCTTATATGTTAGCAACTGTTGAACAAATAAACATATCGACTGTGCCATTTCTTAGGAAAGAGACATAGGAGGGTCTTCTAGCACCTCTCTCACTAGCAGGTTAGCTTTTGATCAGGTCAAAAAGGAAGACAGGAATGGAGTCATAATAAGGGATTGAATAAGCTTACTTTATTCTAGTCTAGTCTTCTCAAAGGGAGTTTGCTGATAATGGGAGCATCACCTCCTACAGCATTCCCTAACAACCCTTCTCTCAGGGGCTGGTGTGAAGGAGAGGCAACTACCCCGTGTCTCGATGAGGTCATTTGAGACCACCACAACTTGTGCACTTCCCTAAATCCCCTCAAGCTTCAATGGGGGCTGGTTGAGGCAAACACACAGATTGCCGCTCCCAAGCCTTGATGGGGGCCAATCAAGGCACACACAGAATTCCAGCCTGCACATTCACCCCTATGGGGGTCCCCAGTCACTGACCAGTGCCCACTTGCTTTATAGGGCAACAGACAAAGAAGGCACACTGCCAGCAATAGCCTCACAATTTCACATCACTTCACCCCTATATCTACTGTGACTGTGCAGTAGAAACTGATTTGAACTATGATCATGAGAACTCATGTCTAACACATGGAAAGTAGAGATTGTTATGGCTGTGGATCCTGGGAAGAAAACTCTAAGAAAGAATAACAAAAATCCACTTTACACACACTAAAATTCACCTTACTTACAGCAACATAGGTGAACATGAAGACAGTCACAGCCATGCCCACCCATCCACCATGGCCCAAATGGCAGCATAGAAGATACCGGCTTAGGAAGCTGCAATCACATAAGTACAAAGGTAATATTGGCCGGCAATCTAGGGGCCGCTGCCTTCAATTATGGCCTCAGCATAGGGATTAAGGGTAACACGTAGAAGTGCATCAGCATTTCACAGATGTTTGTGTTTTTTCACACTAGTCACTATGTTCTTAGGGAGGTCAAAGCCCTGGTAGCAGTCAGTCAACAGTTAACACACATTAATTAAGTTCTTACTGTGCACCAAGTTCTGTGCTAAGGAGTTGGGATACGAGAAAGGTAAAAACATAGTCCCTGCCCTCAAAGACTTCACATTTTAATAGCAGAGACAACATGCAAATAACTAGGTGCATATAAGATAAACATAGTATAAATGGAATGCAATCTCAGAGAGGAAGATGCTACCAATGGAGAAGACCTGGAAGGTCTTCTGAAGGAGAGATTTGAGCTTAATCTTGAAAAAAGCCAAGGAAATTAGGAGGTGGAGGAGAGAAGGGAGTGCATTCCAGACATAGGTGACAGCCAGTGAAAAGGCACAGTCATGGAGTAGTCATGTTCATAGGACAGCATGTAAAAAAAGAGTAAGTTATTCCATCAGGTGTGACAAACTTCATGATCTGTGACTTTAAAAGACTCGGAAAGCAAGCACATAAAGATGGAAAATATTGTTGATTAACATCTACCTTTTGGATCTCCTGGCATGGAATGAATGGGCCATTTTCATGAGGAACATGAAGTTTAATCAGAGCTAGGTATCAGTGAAGGTTTTGTACCAAAGAGTCCAGTGGTCCTGCTTTCTTCTCTGGTCTTTGTGATAGGACAATGTAGTAAACTCAGGAATTTTATAAACTCAGGAATAATACCATGTTTGAAATTTGAACCACATTAAAAAGACAGACCAGTATATCTGGTGTTGACAATTGACAAATGAGTTGACAGATCATTTGAAGTTACTCCAGCTTGCAGGGGTCAGTATGAGCAATGACATAGTGCCTGGCCCTCTCCACATAGTGCTGCTAGTTCTCAAAAGCAGTATTGATGTCAAAGTCCTACTACTGAAAACATGCCTAAGAATAGGAAATAGAAAGACGTAAGGCAGTATTGTCAAGGATACAACTATCACTTCCTTTCTGATACACAAGCATAATTGCCCAACCATTCAATGTTCTTTGTGCCATGACGTCAGGCTGCTTGTTGAACAGCCCCACACGCAAACCTTCTCCAAGGATGCAGACAATACCCAATTTCCTACTGTAAATACTTGCTAGACCAACTGTGGTCAGCCACAATCTATGCCAAAATGAATGTCTGTCTGACAAAGGTAGAATGAGAAATCCTAGTAGTGTACTAAGAACCACAAACAGTGGATATATTTAAGAGTTGAGGGGACTCTGAACTAACTTTTGAATACATAAACCTTGTGTAGATCCATCTAAGTACCCCATAAATCAATCTTAAGGCATCCACTTGGGTCAGGTTGAATATGCATTTCTCCAGCCAGGCATAGAGTTGGTAGTGGGGAAGGAAGCCAGCACCTTATGGATGTGGGTGATACATTGGGCCATGGACCAAAAGTAAATTAAAATATCATCTTGGGGCAGCTAGGTGGCGCAGTGGAGAAAGCACCGGCCCTAGAGTCAAGAGGACCAGAGTTCAAATGCAGCCTCAGACACATGATAACTCACTAGCTGTGTGACCCTGGGCAAGTCATTTAACCCCAACTGCCTCGCAAAAAAAAAAAGTCATCTTGATACATCACAATCCAGCCAATCGGGGCAGCTAGGTGGCGCAGTGGATAGAACACTGGTTCTGAAGTCAGAAGGACCTGAGTTCAAATCCGACCTCAAACCAAACACTTGACACTTACTAGCAGTGTGACCCTGGGCAAGTCACTTAACCCCAATTGCCTTAAAAAAAAAACAGAAACAATCCAGCCAATCTCAGAAATACTGGAATACTGAAGCCATGTTGCAAAAGCTGAATGGTATCCAAACATATTCGAGGTGAGTCCTTCAGGGTAGCCATGTGTTCCCTGGCTAACCTTAGAGCTCTGTATACATATTCCTTACACATGTACCACTTCCAACACTGATTGTGCGGTAAACCATGGAAGAATGTATCGTGTGTGTTGTGTGTGTGTGTGTGTGTGTGTGTGTGTGTGTGAAAAATCCTTACTGGCACTAATTTTGCTATGCTATTTAATTATGTTTTCTGCTTTGAACAAGTGTATTCTCTAACTCTGTAAAAGTAAACACGCTGGTGGAGGTTTGTGAGATATGGTTTTTTGTGGATGTTGACCCCCAGAGTTTCTTGAAGTAGAATGATTTTCTGGGGGTCTGTATATGAGAGGAGGGGCAGATGCAACACTTAAAGGGGAGCTGAAATATAAGAGTAGGAAGATAGTGAGAGCACCCAGCTGCCTTCAGTGATTTGAAGTCAGCAGTCAATCAATAAATATTTATTAAGCACTTCACCATGTGCCTGGCACTGTGCTAAGTGCTAAGGATAACTCCTGCCCTCAAAGAGTTTACAATCAAACAAGGGAAACAATAGGCCAACTCCCTACCTCCAAACTAACCACATCATGCTGCAGTGTGGCTCAAGATTCAAAGGACCTGTGTGTTTAATTCCCACCTTTGACAGTTATTACCTGTATGACTATGGGCAACTCACTTAATGTCCCTATGCCTTAGTTCCCTCACCTATAAAATGAGAGGATTGGATTAACTGACCTCTAGGATCCCTTCAAGTTCAAGATCTACAATCCTACGAACATCCCAAGATAATAAAAGAATCAGTACAGTAGATATAACTGTAGCGTCACTGTCAACGATCTTTGAAAGATCGTAGAGAACAACAGGAGAACTGGGGAAAATATAGAACTGGGGAAAGGCAAATGTTTCATTTTTAAATTAAAAAAAAAAGTTAAGAGAATGGAGGTTGCATACCATAGGCCACTCAGTTTTCTGAGTAACACATTCTAAAATGTTGTTAAATGGATGCTTAGTAACGGTCTAAACAATGATTACAACAGGTCATGCCACACTGACCTCATCCCCTTTGCTCCTCTAGGTCGATACATTGAAAAATCAGAGGGTTGCTATAGACAAAGTTTACACCAAGATTTTACCAGTTTTTCAAGCTATTGGACAGTATGCAGACAATATGGATTTGGCCCACAGGTTTTTGTGTTTCAGACCGCCTGAAACCACTTTTCCAGGACTGGTCTAAGTGTGAGAATCTAAGGTTGACAGTACAGGTGCCTTCCTCCTATAACCACTCCCTAGCTGGGTCACCCTCCAACAGTGTTTTCCTGGTGCTGGTCTATGAGACCCAAAGTTATTTTGCCTTACTGTCTCCCTTGGTCTGTTTCTGAAAATGTCCACACTTTGTCCCCCTGGAACGTGCTTCCTCACCTCATACCATCTCTTCTTTTCTGACTTGCCTGCCTAAAACAGATTCCACCAGCTAGCTCTTGCTTGGCTTGTTCAGTCCTAATGGTGAAATTATTTCAGCTGCCAAAGTGATTTTCCTGAAGTATAGGTCAGACTATATTACCTGGCTATTCAATAAACTCCAGGGACCCCTATCACCTCCAGGATCAATTGTAAAGTCCCTTATTTTGGCATTTAAAACCCTTTACAACCTGGCTCCATCCTACCTTTCCAGATCCAGCTACCTTTACACTATCTATACCTAATGCCTGGAATGTTCTCCTTCCTGCTACCTCTCAGCTTCCCTTGCTTTCTTTAAGACTCAGCTCAAAAGATGTGGGAAAATTGGAACACTAATGCATTGTTGGTGGAGTTGGGAACTGATCCAACCATTCTGGAAAGCAATTTGGAACTATGCCTAAAGGGCCCCTTTGACCCAGCAATAGCACTTCTAAGGCTATATCCCAAAGAGATCATACAAATGGGAAAAGGACCCACTTGTACAAAAATATTTACAGCAGCTCATTTTGTGGTGGCAAAGAATTGGAAACTGAAAAATTGGTGAATGGCTGAACAAGTTGTGGTATATGAATGTAATGGAATACTATTATGCTATAAGAAATGATGAACAGGATGATTTCAGAAAAACCTGGAAAGACTTGTATGGTCTGATGCTGAGTGAAGTGAGCAGAACTAAGAGAATGTTGTTCACAATAACAGCCACTTTGTGCGATGACTAATATTGATAAACTTAACCCTTCCTAGCAATACAAGGATCTAAGACATCTCCAAAGGCCTCATGAGGGAAAATGCTATCCACATCCAAAGAAAGAACTATGGAGTTTGAATGCAGATTGAAGCATACTATTTGCTGTTTTTTTTTTCTCTTCTGTTGAGTTTTGTTTCCTCTTTCTGGTAGTTCCTTCTATTAGTTCTAATTCTTACTTACAACATCAGTAATGTGAAAATATGTTTAATAGGAATGTATATGTATAGCCTATATCAGATTGTGTGCCATCTTGGGCAGGGTGGTAGGGAGGAAGGGGGAGGAAAATTTTAAACTCAAAAGCATATGGAAGCGATTGTTGATAAATCAAAATAAATTTAAAAAAAAGACTCAGCTCAAGTCCTGCCTTCTGAAGGAGGCCTTCTCTGGTTCTCCCAGTGCCTTCTCTGAAATTAGCCTCCTTCTATTTTGTATGTATCTGGTATATACGTAGTTATATCCATGTTGTCTATCCCTTAAAATGTGAGTTCCTTGAGGACAGAGATGGTGTTTTATCCCTTTCTTTGTATCATTAAGAACTTAGCACAGTGTAAAACTTGCACATGGTAAATTCCTAACAAATGCTCATTGACTGACTATTCTACACTATCTATACAGCTGTCCGTGAATTTCAATTTCACCTAACACTGTGCTTTGTGGAACTAAGGAATAATCAAATGATGTTACCAGGGCTATTATATGACTGCAGCAAAAGAAACATATAACCTTAATAGCTATAAGTATTACTAACTCTTGCTATTACATTAAGACATTTTGAATGAGGTGAGACCACAAACCATTTTTAAAAAATATATTTCATTTTTATAGCAATTGATGGGGAAAAACTAATTAAGAATGCTGCTCACCCCAAGACAGAGAGGTGATGGACTAATATATGCACAATGAGAAACACATTTTTGGATATGGCCAATATTTGAATTTATTTTGCTTGACTTATATGCTGCAAGGGTTTTGTATTTATTTGGGAGGGGAAAAGGAGAAAAAATACTTGATAACTGAAAAAAAATTTAAACAAGAAAAGTTATCTTTAACAGGTTAATGTAATAAATTCAACAAATATTTATAAGGTACCTACTTTGTGCAAGAACTAATCATTAATCATATCTTCCTTGAAATTCCTACACTTGAGACTAAGAAGATAGATCTCTTCCTCCTCAAATTATCTTCCATTTACTTATGTTTGTCTTTCCCAGTGGCATGTAAGCTCCTAAAAGACAGGGACTGCTTTTAATTTGTGTCTTTGAGTCTTCGGTGCCTAGTACACAGTAGGTGCTTAATAAAAATACTGGATAAACTGAATTGGATAATTCCACTCTATTCTTATATGTGTTGCTGAAACTATATTTCCTCAGGGCCCAAAATCATTCATAAGAACTGATCAAGTAGATCAAAAGAGGTAGTACAGGGAGAGTACTATGCAAACCTGAAAGTGCTTTGTAAGTGCTAACTATTATTACCACGTACCCTTTAAAGATATCTTATGATAATGTGAAACCCAATGAATGCAACCAGTTCCTGAAGACAGAGGCTTTATACTGAGAATGTCCCTCTAAATCTGCATCATCCCCGGAAAAGTAAGAAAGAAATGCCTAGCACCTTGGGTGCAAATGCAGAAAACTGAAAGAAAAATGATATTTTAAACAGCTATTTAAGTTGTTTCAAACACAGTACAGAAACTCAAATACCAAGTGCTCTCTTTGTCACTCTGGGGTCCAGTCCTAGGACCAAGTTCATATGTACAATAAATTATATGACACATTTTTCAAAGCTGAACCAACCTACTCCAATAGCAGTTGGCACCTGTTTGAAGGATCCAACCTGGCAGTTCAGGAAAAAGGCTTTGCAACATTCTGCTGTCCATCTGCTTGAAAGGCAGAATTAAAATTGTGTCTTCTGCTTGTCAAAACACACCAAATGGCATAAGAGTGGTAATTTGCTTGTCTTTAGATTACATTTCCTGATGAAGCAATGAGTTTTACTTCATGCTATGTGGGCAAAAAATAATGCTTAAGTTATTTTTAATCAGTGTGGTGCAGAATCCACTTGGCTATGACTGAATCTCTTTTATTGGAACAGTCAAGAACATTTAAACCTTTAATGTTTAAACATTTAAACTAGTCACAAATCACGCAAGTTTCAAGACTTCTCCCACCATTGTTCCAATTCCATCAAAAATCTCATGCAGAGGGGCCTTGCACATGAAAGCACAAGTGGTGACGATCTTGTTGGTAGAATCTACATGGGATTCACCCACATCTTTGCAAACATGTTTGCATCCAAGCTCCTGTATAGCAGTGGCCGTTTCAGCATCAGGAAACCTATTGAAAGAAAAAGAGATGTGACTGAAACAGGTGACTTTTCTAAGTCACACAGAGGGTATGGTAGCAGGGAAGGTCTGGTTGACTTACATTGGCCCTCACTCATGAGCTGCAACATTTAAGATCAAAGTCTTTAAAGACAACACATTCCCACACTGGAAAGATAAAATGTTTCAATTTGATGCTGAAAATTAAGCATCCATTAATATGACAGAAAAAGCTAAATATATCAAATCTAATGACTAACGATTAGGGAAAGCATTTTTTGGTCCATATAACCAAGTGACATAATACAACCAAATAGAACGAAAAAATTTCTATTGCAGCTTAAGACAGCAAAGGGAATGGGTAGGGGATGGAGGGAAAGGAGGAATACTGTCTCTCTGATATGATTCAAAGCTACTATCCTTACTGCTTCAAATCAATTCAATTCAACTGAAGAAGCATTTATTAGTGCCTTCTATGTTCCAGGCACTGTTCTATCTATTAGTTAATCAAAGACAAATTGGAATAAATTCTTGCCCTCAAGAAGCTTGGGTCCTACTGGAAGGACACATCAAGAACACTGTTAAGTAAAGTCAACATATATACAATATAACTACAAAGTAATTTTTTGGGGCAGAGGGACTAACAACTGGAAAAATCAGTAAAGGTTCTGATAGGAGCCAGGACTTAAACTGAGTTTTAAAGTGGTTCCAAGAGGTGGAGGTGAAGAGAGGGGGCATTCCAGGGATGTGGGATATGCTATGCAAAAGTACAGAAGTGGGAGATGGGATGGCATGTAGACGGAATATTAGGTACTCCAGTGTGGCTGGAACATAATGTGAAGGGGAGTAATGTTCTATCATTCTGATAGTCAGATTTGAAGGGTTTTAAATGCCAAGAGTCTGTATTTTTTCCTAGAGGTAATAGGAAGCCATGGAAACTTCTTGAGCAAGGGAGGGACCTGGTCAGATCTGTGCTTTAGGAATATGGAAAATGGATCAGATAGAGAAAAGACTGGACAGGAAGATAAATTAAGAGTCTACTTCAAGAATTCAGAGAGGAGATGATGAGGGCCTGAACTTGGGAGACAGTGATATGTGTCAAGGCGGAGTGGATAATATGAGAGACACTGTAAAGATAGAGTAGCTTAAACTTGGCAACCGATTTGATGTGGTGAATAAGTGAGAATGAAGAGTCAAAGATGACTTCTAGGACTCTGGACAACTAGAAGGAATTGAGGTACTCGAAACAGAAAGGGAGAAGTTAATAAGATGGATGGATTTACAGGAAAAGACAAATTGTTTTCAGTATGTTGAGTCTGAGATACCTAAAAGATAAACAAATAATCAGGCGGTGGAGATACAATGACAAAAGCAAAATAGTCCCTGCCCTCAAGAAGCTTACATTCTAATGGCTTGCTACCACATTTATATAGATAAGTACATAAAAAGTAGTTTCAAGAAGTCAAAGATACTAATAATTGGGGGAAGTAAGAAAGGCCTCTTGTAGGAAGTGGAACATGAGTTATGCCTCATTCCACATTATCACACATATGTGAAATGGTAGTTATGAAAATCACTTTGGCAATATAACAAAAGGGCCACCCTTATATTCATTTGGGAAAGAGAAATCAAAAAGCATAAAGCATGATGACAGGCTCACTCACAAGTAAACTTTTAGTCATTTTGCTTACCTTCCACCCACATTTTTATCTTGGCCAACTGTAACTTCACAACCTGGGAAGACTTTGGCTGCCAGCACAGGAGATATGCAGCACAACCCTATGGGCTTCTTGGCACTATGGAAGGCCTGTAGAGTAGCCTTCACAATATTATTGACAGTACAATCCTTTCCATCCACAGCCCAGGAGCAGAGGTTCTTGGCTACACCAAATCCACCTTCAGATACAACGAGAAGTATCAGGACCATTTAAAGCAACTGAGAACAAGGACCTAGAGAATATTCTACAATACTAAGAATGTGAAACTAGGAAGTCATTATACTACATTAATAGTAGAAACTTGAAACTGATATAGAATTAACTTTGGTAAACAGAAAAATCTACAGGGGAAAAAAGGAAGCATAGTAACCTGGAATTTTTAATGTTCTCTGAATGCAGGGAAAAGGGAAAACCAGTATAAAAATATACCAAATAACACAGTAACCAGATGATACATAAAAACACAAAGGAACAAAGACTGTCATTATGTCCAAAGGGAACTGGCCCAGTGAGAGTACAAAACAAAAAAGAGGGTGTTAACTGTATGATCAAGCTTCAATGACAACAAAAAACCAGTCCAGGCACAAAAAAAACCACAACTGACTTTACAGGTAAAAATCCAGGTACATAAAGCTGGATAATATTAGCTGACAAAATTAACTTAGTTATTTTATCCTTTACCTGTAATACAAGTTCAAAATAGGAAGCTAGGAGCCTTTTACAAAAACAAAGAGTTAATTCTTTTTGTAAAATGCATTCATTTTTATCTGGAACTTAACAAACAAGAAAAAATGGGCATTTCCATACCCACAGTAAAAGAAAAAAAAAAGAGGATTGTACCTGAAACTGCTGATCTCTATTGTATATAGATTGCTTTTCTCTTCAAGTATATAATAAATTCTACCTGCACCTTTCAAAACCAGTGTGTTTGTGCTTCTTTCTGGACTTCAGTAACTGTTACTTCTCTTTTTTTCTAATTAAATTTTATCTTTTCAAATAACCAAAATCTATTTTCCCTCTCTCTCCAAATTTTCTCCCCACAAACGAAAAAAGAGAGAAAAATGAAGACCTTGTATCATATATGTATAGTCAAGAAAAACAAATTCCAAATTGGCTATGGATGTATGTGTATGTTTGCATGTACATGTGTGTGTTTGTGTAGAAGTGCACATGTTTGAATCTATACTCTGAATTCATCACCTCTCTGTCTGGTGGGAAATATGTTTGCACACAGTAAACACTTAATAAATTATTTTTTCATTCATTCATTCATTCATTCATTCATTCATTCCTCATGAGCTCTATTGAATTCAGTGATCAGCTTTGATCAGTGTTCTTAAGTCTTTCAAAGTTGTTTGTTTTTACACTATTATTGTCATTGTATAAATTGTTCTAGTTCAGCTCACTTCATTCTTCACCAGTTCATATAAGTCCTACCAGGTTTTTTTGAAATTGCCTCCTTCATAATTTCTCATAACAGAAAAGAATTCCATCACATACACATGCTACTACTTCTTCAGTCATTCCCCAGTTAATGGGTATTCCCTCAGTTTCCAATTCTTTGCCACCACAAAAAGAGTTGCTATAAATATGAACATATGGGTCCTTTTCCTCTTTCTTTGATCTCTTTGGGGTATAGGTCTAGTAATGGTACTGCTGGGTCAAGAGATATGCAGAGTTTAATAACTTTGGGAGCAAAGTTTCATATTGTTTTCCAGAATGGGTAGAATGATTCACAGATCCACCAAAGGTTTTACCTTTTTTTTTTCCCCAAAGATGTCTCAATCACTTTCCTTTCTGTCTTTTTCCTATCCCTATCCCCACTTCAACCTCCAACCCCACTGGGAAAAAAAAAGAGCAGAAAAATAACAAATATGCATAGTCAAGCAAAACAAATTGTCACAATATCTGTGTTCTAAAATACATGACTTATTCTGACTCTTGAGACCATCACCTCTCTGTTAGGAGGTGAGTGGCATGCTTCTTCATCAGACCTTTGGAACCATTGTTGGTCACTGCAATGATCAGAGTTCTTGAGTGTTCAAAGTTATATTAAAGGTGAATCCTTAGAAAAAATGTCAACAATTTACATTGAAAGAGTACAGATGTGCCGTGCAAATGTTTACTACTGCACATTCTTCTGAACTTGCCACAAAATAAAATTCTTCAATATCCACAGTTTTACTGTTATGGGTATTCCTTCCATCGATATAAATTTAAGTACATTTTTCATAAGTAGCTGGAGCCAAATATGTTCATCATCTTGTGGCCAAATTCTGGTCAAGACCTTTGGGGAGCAAAATCGGGTTGGTCCTCAAGGACCCAACCCACAGTCCAGTATTGGCTTGTTTTCTGTTTAACAGGACCTGAGAGAATTTGCACTCTGGTGGCAAGAGGTCTAAGGACCCCAGAGCACCTCCATAAAGTGAGAAGACTTTGCAGAGGCACAAAGTAAAAACAGCAAATCAAAGAATAGCTGAATAAATCAAATTTATCAAAAATCAAACCTCTCCTTTCAAAAAAGGTAAAACAGTTTAGTCTATTTAAGTAATTAAGGTCATTTAAAAAATTGTTCTCTGAGGATCAAAATACCTAAAAATATGAGAATACCAAATCAGCATCAATCCTCATGAGCAATCATTGTGGCAAAGTTATGATGAAATAATCCTGGTTGCTACAAGGGGATAAGAATGACCTACTTTGCCATTTGCCAGTTCATCATGTAGGTAATACTGCCAAATCACCTGCAGTCTAAAATATAGATCTATTGTAGACTGCCTACAACAATGATCCCAGATTATGGTTTGGGGATATACCAGAATATCCCAATATTTTGAAGGAATGTCATAAATTTTCAAAATAATTAACTTTGTAATTTAAAAAACGTATGCCATACTACACTGCTACAAGGGTTATGAAATCAAATATATAAATTGTTGTTTTTCAAAATTCAAACCAATACACTCTAACCAGCATTTATTAAGAGTCTATTATGCGTAAGGCACTGGGGATACAAAGATAAAATGAAAAATAGCAAAAAGCTTCCATTCTACAGACAGGACACAACAGATAAAGAGGTAAGTAATCAAAATTTTAGGCAGAAAAGAACATTAACAACCAGAGAAATAAGGAAAAGCTTCTTTTTCATAGGTAAGTCCTTAAAGAGTACTAAGGAGTATAAGAGGGAGAAGAGGCAGTGTACTTCTGTCATGTGAGATAGCCTCTGTCAGAGGGAAGAGACGCAGTGAGAAGTTTGTTGTTCAATTATGCCAGACTCTTTATGATCCTGTGCACCATATCACGCCAATACTGGCCATTGGGTTTTCTTGGCAAAGATTCTGGAATGGTTTGCTATTTCCTTCTTCAGTGGATTAAAGCAAATAGAGATTAAGCAACTTGCCCAGGGTCACACAACTAAATGTCTGAGGCCGAATTTGAATTCAGGTCCTCCTGACTCCAGGTCCAGGAATCTACTGGGCAAAGCATAGGAAACAGCAAACTTGGCTAGAAGGTAGAGCATATGAAGAAAAGCAATGCTAAATAAGTCTAAAGCCAGATTGTGAAGGGATTTAGATGCCAGTTTGAAGAGCCTGTATTTATCCCATGGCAACAGGGACCCACTGAAAACTGAAAGACATGGCTAGATACAGCAATATTGACAGCTATACGGAAAAGGGATTGGAGGCAGAAGAGACAAAAAGCAAGGAGACCAATTAGCAGGCTACTGCAATAATCCAAACATTCCAAATAAAAACCAAATTGTATAAGGTAGAACAAGTCAATCTCATTAAGACTATACTTTTTAAACATTATCAAGGAATTACTACTAATACAAGCTGAATATTTTACTTCGTGAAGTAGCTTCACAGACTTTTAATCCTGAAAGCGAAAGGCCCCATGATGGAGGAGAAAGCAAGTCCACTGGATTTAGAGGCAGAGATCCTGGGTTTGGCTCCCAGCTCAGCTACTCACTACCTGGGTAACCTTCTGCAAGCCTTGCAGTCCTTTGAAGACCAGGATGACAGAATCCCAGATTTAGGACTGGAAGGTACTTTATAGCTCCTCTAGTTCTCAGTTTTCTCACTTATAAAACTAGGAAGTTGTTTTAGATGACCTTAAAAGTACCATCAAATCCTTAGTTCTATGATCATGTGACTTTTGGATCCATAAATCCAAACTCCATTTAATCAATGAGAACACTGAAGCCAGTTCACAGACTTAGCCTACATACTAATGCTTGAGCCAAATTTAAAATTCACATTTCCTCGCTCCCAGAGCTATACACCAGAACTTCCAGTAGGTGTGCTTTTTCCTCTAAACAAAATGTATTAAAATGGAAGGAATAAGAGGTTTTGGGCCAACTCACCAGGAAAAATAACCGCATCGAACTCACTGACCTTCAGGTCCGCCAAATCTTGAATATTACCTCTTGCAATCCTGGCACTTTCCACTAACACATTTCTCTTCTCTTCTGTTGGGCTTCCAGACAAGTGATTAACTACATGCATCTGTTCCATGTTAGGAGCAAATATCTTTACCTTCAAAAACAGAATTAAAAAATAAATGGTACCATTGCATCACTATTTATTTTTAAATCCTACATATTTGAAAATAGGAATCAAAGTCAAAAAGCCACTCTACAACTATGTGGGCCCTCAGAGCCAATATACGGTAAGCATAACCAGACACATTGAGAATCCAGAGAAATTGCAGGTATCTTCTGGAGAAGATAATCAACAAATAAACCTTCCAATGGCAAATAGTCCAACAAGAAACTGAAAATCAAGTTTTAATAAATATATTTGGAAGGTAAAAATTATGGTAGAAAAAATGTTAGTAGTACTCTTCATATTACTATTATTACTGAAGATGAATCTAATTTAGAATTTTAGCATTCCATTCAATATGGGTGTGATTTTATAGCTACAATTTCAAGGAGCAGAAAAACACACGGGAGTGTATAGATTAAGCCATTCTCTTTCGATGCACCAAAAGCATAAATAGAGTCACCCCTTGAATTTACGGTCATGGAGTACTTCTTGTATTTTGTTCCAAAAGAAGGATCTAAATGGATTATTTTTTTTAAAAAGAGCAAATGGAAGGCTCACAGTAAAAAAAAATTGTCATCAATTGTTCATTTTATACATTTGTAAATCCCACAATTTCCCTCAAACTTTGGCTTATTAATTCCTAGAAAGCAGGTAACTTGTAGAGACTACATGCATTAAGTAGTCTGTTAATAAAATATGAAGTTGTAGTTAAGTGTACCACTAAGTATTAGGTTTAAATGTCACCTTTTTTATATTTTTTATTTAGCAAAAACAAATTAATCTCTGTCTCTGGAGTACATAAGCAAAAATCTTACATCTGTGGTTATGCATCTTCTTCACACACATATTTTTTGGCACAAAGTTTAAAAAATTTACAAGGAAAGGCAAAAATACAAAAAGAAAACCCCACCCATAGATACACAGAATGGATTCCCGTCACTTTACAATAACTCTGCCACATATCTTTGCCCTTGAAAGCTTTATTTCATCATTATTACTATCTATTCTGTTGAGCAGTTTCAAAAACTGTATTTTAAGACTTCACAACTTATATTCATGAAGCATTTGTCTTTTGCCAAAGTAGAGGTAGGACCTAGGATAAGTCACTTACCTGTTGCAGCCTCATAATTCTTCTCATTTAAAATGAGTAGTAAGACTAAATTATCTCTAAGGTCCCTTATAATGCTTTTTAAAAATCTATGACTGTAAAATGCCTTTTCTCCTCGATTTTTGAAAAGGAGAGTCTATGTATTATATCACAAACAATATTACTACAAGTTAGAAATCCACAGTCCCAAGACTAAAAACACAAAGTCTCAAGGACAGAACAAAGTACATAATTAAAATAGAAACAAGGTAATCTTGGGGAAAGGCGGATGGCCATCTTGATGAGGTGTTGGATTTTGGAGCTTCTAAGTGAGTGGAAACCACGAGAGGTGGGGTGGGGAAGATGTGCCCACTATAAGAGGCCTTTTCTTAAAGTACTCTCTCGGAAATGCAGTCCACTTTCTAGTCTTAGCTTTGCCTTCAATATTTCTACTTCCATTGGGAAAGTCTCCATTTGCACCGCAATCGTTTGAAAAGCTGGTGACTCGGCCAGAGCACAGAAAACGGAGCAAAAGCCACGTCCATCGCAATTTTAAAAATGGCATCGCTAGCAAATAAAAAAAAGAAAGAAAAGTAACGAAGTGGAGGAAGTTAGGCCTGGTAAATTCGTCCTGCCTTTTCTGATTGCAGCCTGGGCCAGTATTAGGGGGGTGAGCCATGATTAGCGCTTTCCTGTAGGACGCTTCCCAGCCCCGGCCCCGGCCCCGCCTTGGCCCTAACTGTAGCCCCGGCTGCAGCACCAGCTGCCGGATGATGGGCACTCTCTAGGTCAAGGCGACCCAGGCCATGCTCTCTGTCCACCCCTCTTTCCCTTCCTCCTTCCCCGGAGCCCCTCCCGACCCTGACCTCCGCCCCGCCACGGCTGAGATGAACCAATACGGCGGAGGCTTCGTGCAGTTCGCTGCCATCGAACACGCCGCAGCCGGCCAGGACCAGGGCCACCCTCCGCGGGGCCATGATGCCAGCGATGCAAGTCACCTCGGTGGCGGACTGTTGGGCTGCGGCTCTTGGCGAGGCTCGGCAGCGTCACAGCGCGGCCAGACAGGGTAACCTCACTCCCCACGACCGGACCGCGGCCCCTGGAGGCGGCTAAGAGAAAGGCGAGGAGAGGGCTCAATTGGCAACCCTTGGAGTTTATTGTATCAGGGTAGGGTGGGGTGATGGCTGGGTGGAAGAAGGACTGGAGTGAAGAGAAAATTGAAGACCAGAGACCTGTCTGCAGGTCTTCCAGTCGGGACATGAGGGCCGCACCAGGATGCTTTTAGTGTCAGAAGAGAGAAGGGAATACATGCTCACAAGTATGCATATTGTATGTGTATGTATATATGTGTGTGTGTGCATACTTAAATATATGTGAGTGATAATGCAAAGGTAAAATAGACAGGACTTGGCAACAGATTGGGTGTGGTGAGTGAGAGAGAGTGAGTAGTCAGGGATGTCATAACTCAGAGGGAACTGACCTTACCTGTCTTTGAAATGGCTGTATAGTTGTGCCCCACTGGATTCAGAGGAACCTAGGTTCAAAACCAGGCTCTGATATAAAGGATCTGTGTGACCTTGAGAAAATCACTTACCCTCTCTGGGCCTCAGTTTCCTCATCTGAAAAAATAGGGTGGACTAGGTGATCTCTAAGATCCCTTCCAGCTCTAAGTATCTGATCCTAAGATCTATCAGATTATGGTACTCATCCTTGAAAAAGTAAATCTATACCTGGAGAGTTGTGAATAGTATAGTCCAGAAATGTGAAGTTAACTGGGAACACCAAGTGGATGAGATATAAAAAAGGAGACCTTTGAGACAGAAGAGTTCTTTCAACAACAGGTGAGTTTTGGTGGTTGTGAAAAGTGCCAGTTCTGAGTAGGAAGTATATGCCTTCTTGGTCAGGATATATGCTACCAACAACAGAATGGCATAACATCATAGGGATGGGAACAGTTTAATGAAAAAAGTCTAGTATTATGATCATCCAGGGTAAAAGAAAATTGATCATTGGATTTTAGAGTTTGAAGGCCTGAATTCAAGTCCCAGGTCAGCAGCTTACCAGCTTGTTAAAAAAAAAAAAGTCCTTTAAAAAGGTCCCTTGAGGGGCAGCTAGGTGGTACAGTGGATAGAGCCTCGGCCCTGAAGTCAGGAGGACCTGAGTTCAAATCCAGCCTCAGACTAAAACACTTGACACTTACTAGCTGTGTGACCCTGGGCAAGTCACTTAACCCCAATTGCCTTAAAAAAAAGTTTAAAAAAAGGTCCCTTGACCTCTCTAGGCTTTGATTCAATTCAATAGAAATTTATTAAGCACCTACTGTATGCAGGACATGGTGTAGTAAAGGGCCAAACTTGAGGCCCGAAAAATGTGAATTCAGAGATGGCCTTTGATACATACTGAGTCTGTGACCCTGGATAATTTGCTTAACCTCTCAGTGCTAGGTAATTCTGTAAAACTATAAATTGCCAAGATGGAATAGGTGCTGCCCTATATAAGCAGTGGGACTTTCCTAAGCCAGGGTTTCCCATACCAATGAAATTGTAGATATGTTCATTGTCAGTATCCTTATATTCTGGGTACTGGGGTCAATGTCAAAATAAGAGAGTAGATAACCTGTAATGCCCTACCAGCTCTAACAATTTGTGCTTCTGATCCTGTAGCATTGTAGTGTTTACAAGCCTTCTCTGAAGAGTTCTTGGCTCTAAGTACATGTCTCACAGCATTGGGTATAGTAGCAAACGTTGAATAATATCCACAGCTACTACAGCTCCCATATAGTAATGTGTAAGATTTTGAATAGGGTCATGTAAGCAGTGGTCTGTTGTAGAAGAGACATAGAATCTCTCAAAGTATGGCACTTCTCATTTAATCTCCTGAATGGTTTGAGGGCTGTGCGGAAGTTCCAGGAGACCCTACATTCAGATGCAAGTGGACCTACCATCAGCCTGCCAAAGACTGATTCTCTTATGCCAGTTTGATGTGCATACAACTGGGTTTGGGTATATTCAGTGGCATACTGGAGCCTGTTAAGGATTGTTAAGGGGTCCCTGAATTGCCATATTTTCCAGAAACACTGGACTCAGATATTGCAGGAGGCCCTAAATGTGTTAAGGATGAAGCCCTCTTCTCCCCACCCCAGCTGAAATAATTTGTTGTTTACATCCCAAGCTGGACTCCCTGTGTGTCTTTGGGAGTCAAGACAGATGCCAGTCAGTCTGCACTAGGCTGGGAAATTGTTTATGTAGCTGAGACACTTGTAGATAAGCAGACCATCCCATCTTCATAGTCTAGCAGTTCCCAAAAGGAAAAGAATTGGGCTTTTGCCATTGCCTTGATCCTCCCCTTCAGGAGGGGTTTTGTCCTTTCCCACCTTCACATTTCCCTTCCCATGCCACACCCCTTTAGGTGGAGATTTCTGGTATGTCTTCCTTCCTTTATCCTGCTGTTATAAAAATGCAAACTTCCATATGGGTTGTGAACTCTTTGGGTTCTACATGCATGTTCATTTCTCTAATAAATCTAGTTTTCACATAAATTTCGTGAAGTTGTGATTGCCTGTTGACGAGCTAGAATGTACTAGTTCAGGAGAGTCAGTTGTTAAATTTTGTGTGAGCCTTTATACCTTGGAAATGTAAATACCTCAAATCAGGGCCTGATTTATTGTTTTGTTGATTGTCTAAACTGCAGAAAGTGGTGGAAAAATGTCAGTAAGGCAGATTAAACCTAAAAGAATGTCATATGTATGTTGGAGTTGGTTGCTAAGCATTTGCCAGCATACCCCTGGGCATGTTAATCTTGTGGCAGCTGCTAACCGGGTAAGTTCTAAGTAGCTCTAGTTAATTCTGAATAGCACTAACTGGGAGTTTCAGGAAAGACTCTTGGAGAAGGTAGAGATGATGGATTACAGAGAAAAGACTGAATTACTCAAATCTTATTTTCTTTCTGTTTTCTCTGTCAAGGAGAATGATCTTCAGACTTAGAAAGATGGAACAAACATGGTTAATAGGGAGTTGAAACCACAAATAAATGAGGAAATGGTAAGAGAACACCTAGCCACCTTTATCAGTCCAGGACAAATTGCATTCTAGGGCACTAAAATTAGTCAAGCAACAAGCATTTATTAAGTACCTACTACATGCCAGGTACTGTGCCAAATGCTGGAAAAACAAATGAAAAAGAGCTTAAGGAGCTTATATTCCAACAAAGGAACTTACCTTCCAATGATATGATTGACAAATATGCTTGCTGACTAATAGTCTTTATAGAGAATGCTGGAGGTAGTCAAGGCTGAGGTGATTTCATCTAACTTGTTGGAAGTCCTGGTTTGGGCCCTAATTTGGAGGATCTGAAATATGACAAAACAGTGACTCTACCATTGTTTGGACAGATGTGGAAGTTTGTTTTGGTTTGTTGCATAGCAGGGGTTAGACTGTCAGCATTTTTCATGGAGTTAAGTATGTCTTTTGGCCCCTTGCTAAAGGAAGCACATGATTTGTGCCTCCTTCCAGACTCGTTCTTTGAACCTTTTGACAGGGCTATCTCCAAAATGATTAGCCATTGAGCCAGATAAACCTGGCTATTCAGGAGGCTAGGAGAAGAACTGAGGAGAAAGATTTTTCTCTCTCCATTTTTGGATCACCTTGATTTGGATATTTGATGGTTCTTTTTTAGATCCTGAGGGAAAGCTGGATCCTTGCATTTTCAGATAAGGAAACTGAAGTTTTAAGGATATGAAGCCACTTGCCCAAGGTCACACAGCTAATCAAACACAAGGCAGGACAGCCAGGAGTATTTGCAGGCCTTCAGCAAAAAATAACTCAACTTAGTAGCCTTTTTCTCCCAATGGGCATAACCATCCACCCAACCCCAAGAGAAGAGACAAGGAACCACCACCTTATTTTCCTGTGTTGTGTGGGTGTTGGTAAAACCTTGAGCTTCAAGGTGCAACAAGGTCCATAGGTCACCCAGGCTTTGGGGGAGCACCTCTGATATCCTTCTTCATCCACCTATCTGTGCATCTTCTCCCATGCATTTCCTCCATCCCCCAGTGTCTGGCATGCAGACAACCCAAGACACCCACCTCTTCCACTTTGAGCTGATGGTGGGGAAGGCCTAATTCTAGGCAAGAGGTGAAAAAGGCCTTGGATCCTTTTCAAAAGTCTCCAAGCAGACTGAATGACTTGCCAGTCAGGAATGTAGTAAAAGGCATATATCTTCAGTAGGCAGGAGGTTGGACCTTTACAGTTCAATTCAATGGGAGGTGAGATGTGTATTATAAGCTGTGGTTCTATTACTTATTAATAGAATTATCTGTTTGTGAGAAAATGATTTATAATAACTTCCTGCCAGAAAGGAGTTTAGGTATGGTACTTAATGTGGAGCCATTCATTCTGGAATTTCCCCTAAAAGTGAGAGAATTCTTCCTGGGCTTTTAGAAATCCCATTGACATCTATTATACCACCCTGGATTCTACAAATCTTAGAGTCTCAGAAATGGGGACTGGGCAAGAACATAGAGAGATCTGGGATCTCCTTTCTTTTGGAAGGTGAAGAATACACCTATAGTTCACTGATCCCTGAGAATAAACAAGGAATGAGATGCCCCGGGTAGGGCTGCCTGAAAAGAAAGGATCTGGGGGGAAAAAAAAAGTTCAGCCATGGAAGAGGGCATTTCAATTCAATTTAGTAAACAGAACTAAAAGCAGAACTAAGAAAGATTAGGATCTGTTTCCCTGTACTTTTGCATGAAAGACCAAAATCAGCTTTTACAACTTCCTCACTACTTTAAAAAAAAATCTGTATATTTCTCTTCAGTGAAATGTAACGTCGGTTGCAATTCCATTAGCAATAAAAACTTCTCTAAAGGCCACAGAATGGCTGTGCATTCCTTTCAGAGACCAGAGGTGCCAGGGAGAAAAGATCACAACCCATCTCTTCTGCCGGGAAATTGGGTGAAGGTAACCTACATAAAAGAAAAGGTACTGGCAAGGAGAAACCAGTAGAGGGAGCAGGATGTCTAGGTCTGGTGTTTCCAAAGAGTAGAAAAGTGGAGCTCCGGGATTGGGTTGAGCAAACTCATGACTATCATAAGATGATGAACTTGAGTGTCTGACTGTATGTCCGACTGCTGAGGAGAGATAGACAATACCAAAATGTATATGACTGTTATTTTAGGGATTAAAAAAAAAGTGTGTCAGCCAGGCACATTTTGTTACAGATTTTGTTTTAGACTGCACATATCTTTCAAATCTAGAACTGAAAGCTGGGGTGGGGAACAACTTAATTTGCCCTATTAGTTTCCTCTCCCCTTCCATTCAGCTTTGGGGAAAACTGACTTTGAATGTTTTAAAGAAATTGCAAAATCTGGTTGTTTAAATAAGTTGTTCCCAAAGGATGGCCTTCCAGGCTACCGGTATCTGTAGGCTGTTCTTTTGTGCAAGAAATGTTTACAAGGGTAACCCATACACCTGCTTCCACCTAACAGATATCATTTATGTGTGATAGTCATTTAAAAAAAAACAGCCAGACATCACCTCAAAGGACCATAAATTTAGAGCTAATGGATCTGAAGAGACCATCCAATCCAACCTGCTCATTTTACAAATCAGAAAACTGAGTCCCAGAGTGGGGAAATGACCTCATTAGCTCTCGTTAAAATTAGAGCCATTTATCCCCCTTAATGGGGGGGGGGAAGGGAGGAAGGTGTTGGATAGCCCCTAGGGTTTTGTCCCACCTAAATGGTAGTTGAAGTCTCCAAAAGTATCTCCATTCCTTCCTCCCCACAACCCCAATCACTTAGGTGGAATAACTGTATTTCACAACGATTCCAGGAAAAAAATGTCATCAGGCCCCTCCGACTTGAGGTGGTTGGTATTGTGCAAAAATCACTGCCTGTGGAGTTGGGGAACTTGAATTCAAATCCTGTCCCTGAACCCTCAGTTTCTGCTCTCTACCTCGGTAAAGCGAAGAGGGTGATGGGATGCTTCAGGAGCCACTGGCTCCGCCCTTGGCGAAAGGACCCACCCCACACCTCCCTCCCCGCCCATCACGAGGGAGCTTGGGCAAGTCCCTGACTGACAGAGGGGTGCGGCAGCAACACGTGACACAGAAACCGGTACAACTTTTAGTCAGAAAAGTTCCAGACTGAGCATGCGCTAACTATCCACGCATGCTCCGTCGCTTCGGAAACCTAGAAAATCTTTCGCAGAGGCCTTGGAAGTTCGAACTGTCAGGTGGTAGCGGCCTGGGCATGGGGCCCAGGACTTGGGGAGAATGGAGAGAGGGTGGCGGCCAGTCATGCTGGGCCCTAGCGTTGCTTTGGCTGACGGTGGCCGCTGATTTGCCCTCGGCTTGGGGTAGCAGCGGTCTCCGGCAGCGGCACTGGCCGGTTCCCTACAGGTGAGTGCGCGTGCGTCCCGGAGAGGCCAGGGGTCTTTGCACGGGCGGAGGGGGAGGTCAGGTGCGGCTGCGCGCGCATACCCCGGGCTGCGGGCTTGGGGGCAGCATTTAAATTCCTGAGGTTAGAGTGTGGACGTAGAGTTGAATCCTCGTTCTGCTCCATCCCAGTTTTTAAAGATCGATTGTCTCTCAGGTCCTTTTCCTAGCTCCCCTGGCCCAGGGACTGGTTAGATGTGAGGTGGGGAAAGTAGGAAGAAAAAAAAGACCAGAAAATGGAAGGTTTATTTCCTGAGCTCCTCTTCCTCTTGATGGTTAAAAAAAAAAAATCAGACATGTAATTGAGGGTAGTAGCAGGGTATTTGTGCAGGAAGCGGTTAGGAGGAGTTCTGTGGCTACTCGGGGGTGAAACAGACAAACCACACTAGGGGAGTATGTGAGCATAATAATACCTGGGAGGCTTAAATGTATATAAAGTACTTTCCAGCTTTTAAAGCAGCGAACATATATGTCAGTTGTCACATAGGAGAAAAAAATAGCCGACGTGATGATTACACAAATTAGTTGCTTCTGACTTCCTTGACTCTGTATAGGGAGATACTACTCAAATATTGAGGAGGCAGCTAGGTGGCTCAGTGGAGAGAACAGCGGGCCTCCAGTCAGTAACACTGGAGTTCAAATCCAGCCTCAGACATTTACTAGCTGTGTGACCCTGGACGAGTCACTTAACATCTGTTTGCCTTAATCCACTAGGAAGGAAATGGCAAACCATTTCAGTATCCTTGTCCAAAAAAACCCCAAAAACCCCATTCGTGGACATGAAGAGTCAGACACAACCAAACAACAATTCAGACATTGCTGTTGATGAAACCAGTAGGCCAGCCTCATGTGTTCCAGAGCAGTAGTGTCAAACTCAGATGGAAATGGGGGCATTAATGTGAATGTAAGGATGCCTGCCCTGCATGTCTATATTCTGTTTTTATTCATTTTGTTAAATATTTCCCATTTGCATTCTGTTCTAGCACTTAGGGGTATTTCAGGCTGTGTTTGACACCTATATTCTAGAGTATTGCAGACCCAATTAAGAAGTTGGATGCCCCTCTAGTGTGTGTGCATGAAGTCTTAAGGGATAAAGGCTCATCAACAGATAATAGATTTAGAGCTGGAAAGGACCTCATAAGTCACCTAGTCCAATGGTATCAAAGGCAAATGGAAGTGGAATAGATTTAGAAAAACCACCAAAAAAACCATAATTAACATTATGTGGTATTAGTTTGTGAAACATTTTCCCAGTTAAATTTTAATCTGGTTCCTGCCACACTGAAGTTTTGTAGGCCTATGAGTTTCATAACCTGTGATCTAATTGAACCCTTCCTCATTTTATAGATTTGATTTTTAACTTCTAATATTGTTTTTAATATGTTGTCAACTGGCATCAAGTGCCTAAAAAGGTCAGGGTGTGTGTGTACTAAATACTGATGATTCATGGCATGTTAGCGCTGAAAGGAACTTGAGATTTTTTTAGTCCAATCCCATCATTCAGTGGATTAGAAAAGATGGCCAGAAGTAGTAGGCATTTTACTCACATCCCTAAAAACAGAGCAGTTGGGTATATATATCACAGCACACAAACACCAGTGTCCTTAAATGAAGAGACAGGAACTCTGTTAGGGACGGAGGAGAGGGGACTTTCTAAGGAAGTAAACTGAATAAATTAGGGAAGTGGGGGTGGGGAAGTAATGTGTCCAAGACACAAGGTCTCTCCCGGGAGGTAAAATATCCCAAGTTGGGTACTATAAGTGAAGGGGAAAAGGAATGAGGGTCAAGTCACTTATATTTCAGTTTTTGTTTCTTGAGAATCTATGATTTAATTTTTATTTAGGCTCATAGGTTTAAAGCTGAAAGTCACCTCAGTGGTTATCTATTTCAACTTTCTCATTTTTCACACAGATACTAAGTGATAAAATACCTCAGGTCCTCCCTATCCAGATGATTCTCAAGCCAGCATTTTTATCGTCATACCACGTGAACACTTCCTGAACCAATATACGTCATAATCCTTCGGTCTCTTGGTTGACGGTCTTTCCCAGTTGCCATAAACAAAAGTTCACCTACTGATCAGATGTCTGATGAGCCTCTAATTTAGCTTGGCTGGTTTCATAGGTATAATATCGCAAGACCTATCCTAGCAGCGTTGTCTAGAGTTGGCCAGGATATGCATTATTTTGGGGGTTTTTTAAACCTAATGTCAGTTAAGGATATTGAGGTCACTATATTTGTTGTTAGAGGCAGCATGGAAAATATGTTAAGACCTGACCTGGAGTCGGGAAAATCAGCCTCTGACACATCCTGGCTTCGTGACCCTACACAAAGTCACTACCCCAGACAAGCTGCAGAATAGGTGTCACTATGCTTTGGTATGGGAGCTCAGTGGAGCTCCCTAACTTTATGAATTACAGGTCCAGTCCATTATTTGTTCTTGGTCTTACTTTCTGGGATCAGTTAGTCAGCAGGCATTTATTAAGTGTCAGGCATTGTGCTAAGCACTAGAGATGTAAACAAAGGCAAAAAACATAGTCTCTGTTTTCTAGAAGCTGACATTCTAATAGGAGAGAGTAAATTTTTTTTTCAGTTTCTACACTTTACGCACAACAACCTATAGTCCTTTATTCACTTCTTTTTTTTTTAAATTAAAATATTTTCTTCCCATCTTCCATCTCCAACCCCCACTCCCCCTGCCCTCTGCTGGGAAAGCAAAATCCTTTTAAAACAAATATATGCATAATCAAGCAAAATAAATTCCATCATTGGCCATATCCAAAAATATATGTTTCTTTTTGCACCCTGAGTTCATCATCTCTCTTTCAGGAGTTGGGAAATTTGCTTCCTCATCAATCCTCTGGAATTATGGTTGGTCATTCCTTGAAACCTGTATTCTTGGAGAGTTGACTAGAACACTGGAGGTAGATAGGTTTAAGCATTATTATCCCCATTTTACATACTAAGAAAGTAAGGCTCAGGTCAACTACCCATGGTCACACAGCTATTATGAACTAGAGGTTGGATTCAAGCCCTCATCTTCTGGCTCCCACATCTAGCATCCCATAGAGAATGGATGGAGTACCAGACTTGGAGTCAGGAAGACCTGGCTTTGAATTCTTCCTCTGACCCTATGTTGTGGCCAAGTCAAGAATCATTTATTAAGTGCTTACCATGTGCCATGCAAATTGGTCCAATTTGGCAAATCACTTAACTTCTGAGCTTTAGTTTTTTCATCTGTAAAATGGAGATAATACCAGTAGTATCTCCCTCACTAGGCTGCTATAAAGCTCAGAATCTATATAAAGGTTTTTTTGCAAGTGTTAAAGTACTTTATCAATGTTAGTTATGTAATCTTTAGTGATAGGTTTTGTGGAATCACAAAGACCTGGGTTCACGTGTAGCCCTTGCTATTTAGTAACTGTGTCACTATGGGCAGGCCACTTAAACCTCTCACAGACTAGGTTGCCATCTGCCTTTTTGAAGGAGCTTCCTACAGAATCACCGTTTTCGAAGTATTGACAGTTAGCAGTTCTATAAAGATCCATAAAAACTATGTTCAGGTAATCCCAAAAAGTTGTAAGGAAAGTATTTGGTAAAGCTAAAAGTGCTATGTAGATGTATTATTACTTGTACAGCAAACATCTAGTGACTCCATGCTCATTACCCTGTTGTATAAATAAAGAGGGCTTCTCTTTAAAGGGGTAGAACAGGAAGAAGTAATGACATTTGCATTAATAGGCTTATATAAAAAGTATATTCACAGGAAAGCTAGGTGGAGAAGTGGATAGAGCACTGGCCCTGGAGTCAGGAAAACCTGAGTTCAAGTCCAGCCTCAGACACTTGACACTTACTAGCTGTGTGACCCTGGGCAAGTCACTTAACCCCAACTGCCTCACCCCCCAAAAAAAAAAGTATATTCGCCGTAGGCTTGAAAGTCAAATTTCTCTCAAGTTCTTATGTTGAACAAAGTGAGCAATGGTACTGGAATAATTATGTATTATTTAGCTTATTATAGCTATTAGCTTATTATAATAATTATATCCTATTTAGCTACATAAATTTGCCTGGCATGGTTTTTTTTTTAAAGAAGTCCTAGTATAATGATATTATTGGAGAATATACATATTTTCCCCTTATTTCCCTTAAAGAAATCAGAAAAACTCAGAATGACCTGAGAGTAGTTGGAAATAAGAACTTTTCTAAAATATGTAATTAGGAGAAAATATGAATTTATCAAGTTATTTTTGTCATTTTGGTATTATAACAGTTATGCTTATTGTTTACATTTTCTTGGCACTTTATGATTACAAAATCCTTTATTGTGTTGCCTGATTTGACCCTTGTAACAAACAGCTCTGTAAGGAAGATAGTATAAATACCCCTATTTTACAGTTAAGGAAATTGAGACTTAGAATAATTAAATGAGCTGCCCAGGATCACATAGCTGGAGGTGTGATTTGAACCCCAGATAATTTAACTTGTACAAGCCTTGATTTCCTCATATATAAAGAGAGAAGGTTGAACTGCTTACCTAAAATGAGCTTTAAATGAAATTTGGATTCTTAAACATATAAGATCAAACTAATTCCTTTCAAGTTGATAACTGTTTTTTTCTTAATGAAGGCGTTTTGAATTCCGTCCTACACCAGATCCTTATTGTCAAGCTAAATATACTTTCTGCCCAACTGGTTCTCCTATCCCAGTTATGAAGGATGATGATGTCCTAGAAGTCTTTCGATTACAAGCCCCAGTATGGGAATTTAAATATGGTGATCTCCTGGGTCATTTGGTAAGAATGGACCTTTATTTTGTTATGGCTCTGAATTGTTGAGTGCAGTTTGATTTTGGGGAAAACCAATTAAATTCTGTTGTGTATATGTGTGCACACGCTGATGTATATGTACATATGCATGTGTCCACCTAATTTCTTAATTTACATTCATGTGTGGGTATATATACACATAAATATGCTTATATATATTATCCTTATATTGATTCTATTTAGAACAGTTACACTAAGAAGTAAAAAGTTGTGAATCAAAATATCAAATTAATAATTTTAATGGCAGCAAACACTAACTTTTATAGCCTTTTTTTAAACATTCTAACAAATTTTGGTTAAATTAAATCATTAACCTTATTTTGAATAATTTAACTGAAGCAATGATGCTATGGTCAACAAAATAGACTGTACTAGTTGCAAGACATTTTAAGCTTTGGCATTCCTAATGTACTGTAACAGTATGTACGTTAGATGTCAGTCTAAGTACCCTGGGTTTTGTATATTTACAGTACTTAAATTTCTTTGAAGTATTTCTTAAATGTGTTGAAGTATAGGGCATTTTAAGCAATTTTCTATTAGTCCAGCAAGTAGAAAACTTTCCTACTGGGAGTTGGAGGTGGGATATTAAGGCAAGAAACAACAGCATCACAGGTAGAATTTTATTTTGCAATTTATTCTTTCCTCTTTTCTAGTCTTTCCTATTTCCTTCCTCTGTGGTAAGATTGGGGGAGGGGGCAATAGGGAAAAAAGAAGAGGAGGTCCACACTGTTGATAGTAGTATCAAGTGAAATAAGACTTGGTAGAAGCTTCTGAGATTTTAGTGATGATTGTTGTATTTATAGGCTTTCATATCATATGAAAAATCTATTCACTATAGGCTTGAGGGTCAAATTTCTCTGACATTCTTATGTTGCATAAAGTAACCAAAAATGTTGAAAAAATTATATCTATTAGCTACATAAATTGAGTTGGCATGATTTTTTAAAAAATCCTAATAAAATAATTTTGGTCAAAAATAAGACCAAAATTTTCCCAATCTTTATACAGCACTACCTAATGAAGTTTTTGTTTGTTTGTTTGTTTGTTTGTTTGCATTTTAAGTCTCTAGGGGAAAGGGGAGTGATTTTTCTAGTCAGGTGTTTGAGTAAAGGAATCGATGTATTATTGCTGGGTCCACCTCCCACTTCTGTGCTTGATCTGTCCACCACTAACTAGCATTAAATGCCTACTAGGTGCTAGGCACTGGAGATGCAAAAACAAAGAATGAAACAATCCCTACTTTCAAGAAACTTCCATTCTCCCTCTTAAAATCTATGCTATTGCAGCAAGTACTTAGTCTAAGGAACCTCTCTTTGAATAATCCACATTACTAAGCCCCAACTAAAAGTAAAGATTGAGAACATTTGAAGGACCTATAAAGACTTTAATATTCTCCAGTATACCCTTTAAAACCATCATAGATGGATCATAGGTTATAACTGTCATGATGTAATTATCAGCAGTGAAAATAATTGTAAAACCAGAACTTCTGTAGTTTTTCTGCTCTCCTGTGATCACATAAAGTAGGAGTGCAACATTTGTTATTTCTCCATCTCTCAGTCTGGACCTACCATTCTCTAAGTTGAAAGAGAACCACTGCATCACCCCTCCCCGTTAAAGAGAAATGCTCAGCACTAAGAACCCTGTCCAGGAGAAGTATCCTATACAGAGGGTAAGGTCGAGCCAGGGAACAAAGATCCACAGCTTGGGGAGCAAGAATGAGAATGTGCAAAAGGAAATGAAACTTTCAGATAGCTCATGTCCCAAGTGCCTTGGCCAGTCTCATTTATTAAGAGCCTACTATGTGTAATGCTTTTTCTAAGTACTGGAAGTGTTTTTCAAGGAACTTAAATTCTACTAGGGAGTGACAGAACACGTACACAGGTAAGTCATTCACTATAGCGTAATTTGTGGGGAGAGAGAGGGAGGTGCAATGAGTAAGTAGTATTTGAGAATGAAGTCTCTCAGGCACAGAGGATAGCCTATAAAAGTGCTGAGATAGGAGATGGAATGAATAGTTCAGGTAGCAGCTTTCAGCTTAGCTGAAATGTAGACTTATGTAAAAGGCAATAATATTAATTTTCAAAAAAGATGGATTGGAAACAAGTTTTCAATGCCTGGCTGAGGAGTTTGTGATTTATCAAAGTTTTTTAGCAATGCAATGACATGCTCAAACTTACACCATGGGAAAATTATTTGAGCAGCTCTCTGGAGAATGGATTAAAGGGTGGAGAGGCTAAAAGGACAGAAGCTCATCTCACGGTTTTTTTCAGTAGGCAAGGCCTGAGCTGGCATAGGGCTTTAGAAGTGACACAAAAGGGGATGGATATGAAAGGCATTGTGAAGGTACAACAGACAAGGCTTAGATTTTGATTAGATATAGTCAGTGAGGAAGCAAAGACTCTAAGGCTGCAACCAAAAGGGGGAATGATACCCCCAAAAGAAATAAGAGAAGTTTAAAGGATAGATGGTTTAGTGGAGAAAGATAACTTCCATTTTGGACATTAAAGACACATTAAATTTAGAATGTAAGTAGCACAAAGGAAGGGATTATTTCAGTTTTGTCTTTTATGTTTTTGTCCCCTTACCTATAGAATAGGTTCTTAATAAATGATTTGCTATTGAATTTGAGATTTTGATAGCATGTTTAGGTGGAGATATGTAGCAAACAGGTAGCTAAAGATCCAGGAAAGGTGTTCAGAAGAAAAATTAAGATTGGTTTATGTGGCAAAGAATTGGAAATTGAAGGGATGGCCATTAATTGGGGAATAGCTGAACAAGTTGTGGTATATGAATATAATGGAATAGCATTGGGCTATAAGAAATGATGAGCAGGCAGATTTCAGAAAAACCCGGAAAGACTTATATGAACTGATGCTGAGTGAAATGAGCAGAACCAGGAGAACATTGTACACAATAACAGCCACACTATGCAATGACTGACTTTGATAGACTTAGCTCTTCTTAGCAATGCAAGGATCTAAGACAATTCCAAAAGACTCATGATGGAAAATGCTATCCACATCCAGAGAAAGAACTATGTAGTCTGAATGCAGGTGAAACCATACTATTTGCTCTACTTTTCTTTTGTTATTTTATTTCTTCTTTCTTGTGGTTCCTCCCATTAGTTCTAATTCTTCTATACATCATGACTAATGTGAAAATATCCTTAATATGAATGTATAAGTAGAGCCTATGTCAGATTGCACACTGTCTTGTGGAGGGGGGAGGAGAAGAAGGGGGAGAAAATTTAAAACTCAAAGTCTTATGGAAGTGAATGTTGAAAACTAAAAATAAATTATTTAAAAAAAAAAAGATTGGATTTATGGATTTGGGAGTCCTCTCTGCAGAGACGGATATTTGAATATGTGGGGAGTGGAGATCACCAGCAGGTTATTAAAAAGCCCAGAACAAAAGCTTTCAGGGACACCCAAGCTTAGAACACAGGAGATATAGTCTCATTTTGCAACTATTTTTTTATATCTGACATTATTTTTACACAGAATATTATGCATGATGCTATTGGATTCAGAAATACTTTGACAGGCAAGAACTACACCATGGAATGGTATGAACTTTTCCAACTCGGAAACTGCACATTTCCCCATCTCCGACCTGAAATGAATGCACCATTCTGGTGTAATCAGGGAGCTGCCTGTTTTTTTGAAGGTATTGATGATATTCACTGGAAAGAAAATGGGACCTTGGTTCTGATAGCAACTATATCAGGTAGGTTTTGAAAACATGATAGTATTTGGGTGACAGCATAAACAGATATTAAAACCAGCTTCATTTTGAAGCATAGTTCATTGTTTTCTTCAGTTTTAGAAGCCATCTGTAAAATATGTAGCTGGAACCACTGACTCTTAAACCAAAATATTATTCATGTGTTATATTGCCTATTACCAATAGAATTTAATAGAAAATTATGGCTTAGTACAACCACATTGTAAAAATTTAGTGAAAATGAGTGAATTGTTCGCAGTATTATGTTTGAGCCTCTGGAATGCTTATACTTCCTAGTTATGATTTTAGTAAGAATTAGACAAGTAGCTTAGAAAAAACTGGATTTGGGCCTTTGTAACTGAGCAAAGCTTCCTGTTAAGCTATTTTTAAATGGTAAAACAGATGTTATATTAACAAAGCAGCATTCTTAGAGTCAGTTCTCTTCTAAGATTTTTAGTTCTAACTGCCTCTAAATTTCAAGTCCATAAAGCATTACTAGGAAGTAATAATAATAGTGTTATTTCTATCACTGTTTAATATTAAATATTTAATTTTATTTATTAAATTTAATATTAAATGTGGTAAGATTAAGCTATGTCACTGTTTTCAGAAAAGAGAACTATACTAGGAAGCAGAAAACCTTAGCATTAATGGTTTTCAACAGTTAACTGGCCATTACCTTGGGCTGATTCCTTACTCATGAGTTCTTTGAAGTAGGAGTGGGCAGTGAGCACATGTATATTGTGTATAATGAGTATGATAGTGTATAGTGTGGTATCTGTTACATGTAGAGGTGTGCTTCTAATGTGTGTATGAAACATATTAATGTATATAATGTGTATAAATATCCCCAACATTATCCCCAACCTTATGAATCCAGGAGGCCTTACTGTTTTCCTTCCCTTTCCTGTCCCTGGGGCTAGAGGTGAGGAGAATCCAAATTGCAGACTGTTTGATTTGGACTCACAGAACTTGGGTTTTAATCTTGGCTACAACATTCGAGTAGCTTCACTTCTCTGGGCCTGTTTCTTTTATAAAACGAGGTCAGATTAGGTACCCTCAAGTGCCTCTTCCAACTCCTTTTTTTAATATGTATAACACAATATGATTACAAGTCCAGGTTCCACAATTCTGAATGTTAATTTTACATTCTTCTTTTCAAAGTAGGGAGAGCAAAATCCCAAATTGAGAGTCAATGTACCCAAGTGAAATGGTAAATCACTCTCTGCAAGAACTTTATTTAGTCACACAATCCATCCTTCTACTTTCAGAGTATACTACCTGACCGAGCCAGGCTTATAAAATATGTCTTAAAACGTCCAGGATGATGAAAAAGGTAGAGATAGCCAAATAGAATTAGCTACTGGATATAATGTGTTGTCACAGTTAATGATGTCCTTAAGTAAAACAAACACAAGTTGGGTTAAGAACTCCAGTAGAAATTCAACAGAGGGGCAGCTAGGTGGCACAGTGGATAGAGCACTAGCCCTGAAGTCAGGAGGACCTGAGTTCAAATCCGGCCTCAGACCAAACACTTGACACTTACTAGCTGTGTGACCCTGGGCAAATCACTTAATCCCAACTGCCTAAAAATTTGAAAAAAAAGAAAAGGAGGAGAAAAGGGGGCAGCTAGATGGCGCAGTGGATACAGCACCAGTCCTGGAGTCAGGAGGACTTGAGTTTAAATCCAGCCTCACACATTTGACACTTACTAGCTGTGTGATCCTGGGCAAGTCACTTCACCTCATTGCCTCACCAAAAAAAAAAAAAAAGAAAGAAATTCAACAGAGCCTGTAAGTTCTTTTGGTTTGGCAAGTTTAAACTAATTCAGAATTGATCCTAGTAAAGATCCAATGCTGTTAAATATGGTTAAAAACAAAAAGGTAGAGCTTTGCATCAAACCATTTTTATAAATCTAATTATACATACAGAATTGGTTAAATCTCTCCCTTCTTCACAATATCTCATTCCTGATCATCTTTCCTGACCTCTCTTTTACTTTTCTGCCTTCTACTTTGTCACTTATATATCACTTCCCATTCCCCTTGCCAGTTTTTTTTTCTTTCTTTCTCATTGGTACTATTTAATAATAACATTCAGGAAGAAGTGCTTCAGTTTTTGTAAACTTTATAACTTAAAGATCTGATAAATGACATCATTACTAAAATTCATTTTCCTCATAGATGAAAGGAGGTTGGATTAGGTGATTTCTAAGTACCCTTCTGGCTCTAAATTCTGAACTTATAATTATAAAATAAATGAATTAAGAAGGTAATGTGAACTAATGGATTGGGTGCATGGCAACATGCAGTGTTATCATAGGCATGTCAACTAACTTCTCTGAGTCTGTCTCTTCACTTGTAAAATGGGATTTTATGGTAGTACCTAATATCACAGAGTTGGTATTAGGCTCTTAGAATTGTATGTAAAGTGCTATATAAATGTCAATTGTTATTATCCTTCTACCTTTCTTCTGTGAAGGATAATTTGAGATATTGCTTGCCTTTGACATGGGTGTGAGCATATATGATTGGATGAGTTTGAATCCCTGCTATGAAAGCCAAACGTTTTCATTTATTCATGTCTATTTACATATATGTGTTTATATATAAGATTTAATTATAAGTTTTTTCTTTTTTAAAAATAGGAAAAATATTTAACCAAATGGCAAACTGGGTGAAACGGGATAATGAAACGGGTATTTATTATGAGACATGGACTGTCCAAGCCAGTCCAGAAAAAGAGTCGACAACATGGTTTGAATCTTATGACTGTTCAAAATTTGTATTAAGAACATATGAGAAATTGGCAGAACTTGGGGCCAAGTTTAAGAAGATAGAAACCAACTATACCAGAATATTTCTCTACAGTGGCGAACCTACATTTGTGGGAAATGAAACCTCTATTTTTGGACCTGCAGGAAACAAGACTCTTGCTACAGCTATAAAGAGATTTTATTACCCATTTAGACCTCATTTATCAGCTAAAGAATTTTTGTTAAGTCTTGTGCAAATTTTTGATGCAGTGCTTATCCACAGGCAGTTTTATTTGTTTTATAATTTTGAATATTGGTTTTTACCTATGAAGTCCCCCTTTATAAAGATAACATATGAAGAAATTCCTTTACCAAACAAAACACTGGTTTCTAAAACATTGGGACTTTGAGGAAAAAATGTCAGTATTATCTTCTTGGGAAGTGATTGAGAGAGTGATTTGGTCCCATTATGGATCATCTAGGTCTATTCTCCATTCATTGGTTTTTAAGGATTAAGGAGGTGAAACTCTAATCAACAAATCATTTTGCCTCTTAGTATCTCTTGGGAACTGGGTGGGGAGAGGTTAATACGTTATTGTACTGGCAAAAGATAGCCCCTTGGATTATCTGGATTTCAAGGCTACAACTAACAGGGAAGAAGAATCACAGTACAAAGGGCTAATATTAAACAGACTATGTTATGATGCATTGTACATAGTAGGTGCTTAATAAATATTTGAGTTGAATTATATATAACTACAGTACAAAGGTTACATGTTTTGTTCTGCATACCACTTAAAACCTTTAAGTATTATTCTGTTGTAATAATTTTAAAGTGCCTTTTGATCCAGGTGTCCTGAATGAGTTCCTCTCATTGGAGTTTCTAAGACTTTTTTTTCCCTCTTAAACATGGCAGATGTGAAAGTTTTTCCTTTCAGGGACAAAGGTTTTTCTCTTACAGAGTTTGAGCTTCAGAATTTCCTGGGGTTTGCAATATCAGATGTTGAACTGAGTATATAGTGCCTCATGGTTTGTCATTAAACATCTGAATACCCTTGGGCACAGCTAATCCTTAAATTTATTTTACTAGTTTTATTTTCCTCCTCATTAACTAGCAGTGACATGTAGGATAAGTAACAATGTTTGTGTTCACATATCTATGTATGTCATATGTTTAACTGCCTACTGAAACATTGTATTCCTCAAATAGAGAGGCAAGGCTATACTTGACATTTTGTCACCAATTCACTGATGCCAAAAATTATATTTTTCAGTCCTTTGTCTTGTTCATTAATCACTTTAAACTATAGCCAGTTTTTGAAAAAGCATCCTTGTTAAAGGGATGGCTGTATTGGAAAGGCATTCCACTAGGGGGCAAATGTAAAGTTTATACACATTTTTTGTTTTTTTTTCCAAATAGCACATGTGAAGGAAACAGTCCACTCTGGGAACATGGTGAAACAAAAAGCAGGGGACTGTTAACTCTGAGTAAAAGCATCTGTATTAATTACAAGTTACCATTGTTAAACCTCCATGAAAAACTAGAACATGTTTAGATGTAATTATGATGTTTCCAAAATCAGGATATTATGTATCATGTGGTATCATACTTTATAATGATATACAGAGTTGCTAGGAGAAAATAGTTGGGTTTTTTTTTTAAGAAGTCACACAATGAAGCTTCTGTATAGTATTATATGTGCAAGTTGACAATGGAAGGCTTCTCATTCATATAAATGAATCTTAATTTTATTTCAAATTAAGTTATAGTAGGCAGTAAGAAATAATGTGAAGGTCACACTGAAGAAAGACTTTTAAGTAGTAGCCAGAAAATAATTTAGATGTATCAATCATGTGCCCCTTAACATATTAAAAACTCTATTGTATTTAATATTCTGTAGGTATTATTTGCAAGACATTTGCAAATCCATAATTAGTGATTACCTATTAAATATGAGATGCTGTTAGGGAGATTGGAGCCAACATTTTTTAATTTTTAAATTATTTTTTAAAATTTAAATTTTAACTTTTAAAAATATATAATCTTAAAGTTTTTTTAAAAAAAATGCTATTTTTATGAATTATGTTCTGTAGCATTAATTTGAGGTTTAGTGAGTATACTTCTTAAGGGGCTTTTGCTTAGAACTATTTCTGGTAAGTTGTGACAGTTAATTGAAAGAATACAACCAAAACAAAAATAAGAATGCCATAATGACTATTACATTTTACAAGGTTAAATAGTTCTTTTACTTACTTCTTACAAAAAGAAGGAAAAAAATGTAGCTTTTAAAGGCCTCAACGGAGCTTATTATTCTGTTGTGCTACTACAGTGAAATCTTAATCTTCAGGAAATGGGCCTTAAAGCAAAGTCAGCTGTGGGGTTGTTTGGTTGGTTTATAACTTAACAAATCCTGCATTAGTGGTAGTGTGTACCATGTATTTCAGAGGTGATGTTCCTGCTAAGTAACATAACTGTGGGAGAAAAAAGATCTCTACATAGATTGAGCACACTCAAAGTAAGCGAAACTTGATTTGACAAGTTCAACCACTTCTTTTTTCCAAGCTGTGACCAAGTGAATGTCTTTTTCTCTCCCTTCTTAAAAAGAAAAAGATAACACTTATTTACACTTGATTGATCTAATACCTTAGTATGAATGCATTCCATTCGAGGTGATTAAAATCAAGCAATTACTTCATAAATCTTTTTTCTCACTGTAAAATTATGAGACCTATTAAATTAATTTTAGGTACTAGCAAGTGGGAGGAAATATATTTTGCAAAGATAAAGCCCCTTGTAATTATTATACCTATAAAGATAGTTATAAAGGTACACCCACAATTTTTTGTGAGAGGGTGGGAGATATAGTGTTAGTCTGCAGTCTGGGTAGACTTTTCTTATAGCTGGCATGTCACACCCAACTCCTGATAGAAAGGGTTCAAAATCCACTGGATTAGAAGTCTGGAGTCCTGTATCCAAAACTTGTTCCACTTATACCAGTTCCATATCCAATATGACACTGGATAAGTCAATTTTTATGTGCTTCAATTTCCTCACATATAAAATAATGCAGAATTGTGCTGCCACTGAAATACATAGTATACTACCACTTATGTTGGATTTAAGTTATCAAATAAAACCCAAAACACACAGCTGCCTTTGCTATAAAAGGCCCTTTCCCAGAAAATTAAGATTTTACTATAGTAGCAAAATAAGAGTATTAGATTTCTTAAGGCCTTTAAAAGGTGCAATGAAGAGGAATAAAAGCATTGCTAAATGAAAAAGGTTGATGGTTTATTAATTGATAGAAATTTTAGGAATGATTTTAATAATGCTTTATATGTAAAAGTTCTTGTCACAGGTCAAATTGACTATTCTCTAGTTTCCCTAAAAACCTCCAAAAACAAAGTAAATACAGATTGGCGGAAATTTTTTTTGAAATTAAAGTCATGTGTAATAGAAGTCTTTATGACTGAAAATGAGACTAGCAAGCTTGAAATGTTTTAAAAGTATGGATGTGCAAGAATGTGAGAAAGGCAAAATTATTCTTTTAAAGGTACTTCTCACTGATTATTTGACAATTCGTTTTCTCTGCTTAGAGGTTGCAGTATTAATCTTTACCATTGTCTTTCATACCTCTGTATTAGTCATTGTCAATAAATAATCTTTTTTTAAAAAATGAGTCTTTTTTTTTTTAATGTGAGGCAGTTAGGGTTAAGTGACTTGCCCAGAGTCACACAGCTAGTGAGTGTTATGTGTCCGAGGTTGCATTTGAATTCAGGTCCTCCTAACTCCAGGGCTGGTGCTCTATCCACTGTCCCACCTAGCTGCCCCAGGAATTAGTCTTAAGCAAAATTTTGTAATCATATTAAACTGAGCACATAAATAAAATTCCTCCAAACCAGAACATCATTGAAACTGAGTCTAATTTGAGTTTTAAAGTCAGAAAATAATTTTTAAGTGCTTGATTTGATTATGGTTAATACTCCAGAATTAAAAACTATATTTTCAAATAGACAAAAGTATTGAGCATATAAAGTATAAGTAAAAATTAATCTTAAATGTTATGCATGTTTATAAACTGAAATTAAGTATTTCATGTATTATATAAATCAGCTTTTGCAAAATGTAAACTTCCAAGTAGAACTTTGGTTATTAGAATGTATTTTGTCAAATCCATTTACTAAGTTCAAGGAGATCTGTGCCTCTTTTAAAATACCCCAAGTACTTAACATTCATTTCTGTTAAAAGTCAAGCTTATGAAGGAGGGGGGAGGGGAATGTGTGTGTGCGCGCAAAATAACCACTATCATTCACTTGTTATTAATTTTTAAATTTGAGCTATTATATTGTTTCTGCTTATTTACATGTTGCTGAAGATTAAGTTCTCATCATTTCAAAATCCTACGGCAAATCAAAATTATTTAGAAGATCATCAACTGCTCTATTCAGTATGCAATCCTATTTTGAAATAGATAAAATTTATAAACAGTCAGTACCCACAACTGGTAATTGAGATAAACTTTTTCAGAACACTGATGAAGTAAGTTCAAGCATCAATTTATACTATCAGGAATAAGCTACTTTTAAAAAATGGATAGTTAGTGCTCTTCCAATTTCTCCCAAACAGGGAAACATTTAGCATTAGTCCCCATAACCAAAGTTTATACAAAGAGTAGGAAATTCAGGTGTTTGAAGATAAAGCTTAATATTTTTATGAACTATGCTTTATACCATTACCTTTGTATAGGTGAAAGCAACTTAAAATGACACAACTTTAAAGTGACAAAAAAGTCATTTAGAAAATATTCATTTAACTAAATGTGATTGCTGATTACAGGAACCTGCTGATACTTTTTTCTGTTAAAATTGTTCTATCCACTTAGCAATATTCACTCAAAAAATATAATTATAAACTTAAATATGCCTTTTAAATTTATTATAGCTCACCCTAAAAATATACATTTGGAGCTTCATGTATGATTAATAAAAACCAAAATATCTTACACAATTTAGCAGTACAATCCCTAAAAGAAAAATAAGCCACCATTAAGACTCACTGCTATCTGATAATCTTTCATACAATTTATAAACATTTTAGAGTTTACCTTTAATTATAATTTTGATTTGGCTTTTTAAATAAGTTTGCCATTACAACAAATTCAGTTACATTATACCTCAAAACTAGTTTAAACAATATACAAAAACCAAATATTCCTTACTTCACATAAAAATGCCTCAAGTGCAATTTACAGAATAACATATTACAGGATGAACTTTATAAGGTTAGTAGATTACAAAGCAATTTTCAAAATGTAAATCAAATGCTTTTCCTTCTACTCCTTGTGCACTTGCCCTGTGGAAGTTTGATCTTGGCTCTAATTTATGTTCTCATACAACAGCCATTTTGTTAAATTTACCATTTGCCTAATAAGTGTATACATATTTCCCCCCAAGAAACATATACAATAAGAAAAAACAGGGCTGTGTAAAAACTGCGAAAATTTGGCCAATCTTCATGAGCAAAACATACCTACACCCATCTCCCATAAACCTTATCTTCCTGAGCTATATCTGACACCTTATAACAGATGTATGAAGACCCTAAAAATTGTCAAATTTACATTTTAAAAAACTGCATAGAGAACAAAACATTTTTGAAAATCTATTACTACTTGGATTTCATAATCTGTAGTAAACAAGTTTCTCGGGCTTAACATGTTTAAACTTTACAGCTGTTGATTATTCTTATATTTGAACCACTACTGATTTTTCTACTGATATTTGACTGTTACTAGGCTAAAGAAACAGATTTTTCTGACCAAATCTGGCCCATGGATCTTCCACATTACAATCAATATTTAAGCCTGTTTATTAGTCACTGACTGCAAATATCAATTTCTATGCCACAGTCATATAATTATATGAAAACTACATTAAATAAGCTTTTTTTCCTTTTTTACAATATGGTATGCTCAAGTTTAAGGTGCTATTAAAATTGCCTTTTGGCATAAGATCTTTACCAAGTGGGCATCATGTCTGGAAACCAAACTCTACCAAGATGCTTTGATACTTCCCAATGAATCTGCTCCAAACTATACTTCTGGTCAGGAATTAATACTTCTTCCATAATGGATAGCTGAGACAGACGGCCACCACACAACTTCACAAACTCAACAAAGGCACTGCAAGAGACTTCACATTCACCTAGTCCAATAGCTGACAAATTTTTGCAACGTTCTGCAATGCGAATTAATTCCTCATCCAGTGGTCGTAATCCATTAGCACACACTACTAGTTCAACTAAACGAGGGCACGTCATTCCAACACGGCCAAGCACATCTTTACTTACTGATCTGCCAAAGTAAAGATGAGTGGCAGGAATTTCATAACGAAAGAATGGATCAAATTCTTCTTCATACAAAAAAAAATACATCACTAAATTTACTTTAGGTGAATGTCTGACAAAAGCATCCCAGCTGCTCTTCTGAATTGTATGGAAGTGTGTCTGTCCTGGATTTTCACTGACTACATCAATGCGCAAGTGTTCCAATCTGACATGTTTCTCAGAAGACAAAGCGAGAAGCAGTTCATCGCTTAAGAGGTGGTAGTTCAAGGCCAGTTCACGTAAGCCATGACATTGGTCAGCCACACAAAGGATACCTTGGAAAAGAAAACAAATTCAGCCAATTCACAACTGAAATTGTACTTTTTATAATGATTTAATTATAACTTTAAAGATTATAAGACAGAGCTACAATACTTTAATGCAGTTTTAATGGGACACAGCATGGTATAGTGGAAAGATTGTTGAACTTGGAAGACAAAGGAAGTGGATTCAAATCCCAGCTTGATCACTTACTAATTATGTGACTTTGGCCTACTTAGTCTTTAACTTCTGTCACTTTCAGTTTTCCAATATATAAATTGAGACTAACAATACTTTCACTACCTACCTCATACGGTAGTTGCCAGAAACAAATGTGACAACATACATAAAGTATTATGTAAACCTTAAAGTGCCATTTATGTATCCCATGGCAAAAAGAAAGGCTCCATGTGAGCTAAAATATTTATAGCAGCTTTTTGTGATAGCAAAGAATTAGAAACAAAGTAGGGATCCATGAATTGGGGAATGGCTGAAGAAACAGTGGCACACAAATGTAATGGAATATTACTGTGCTGTAAGAAATGACAAACATGATGAATGAAAAGCATGGAAAAATGAATGTAAGGTGATGCAAAGTAAGCAGAGCCAGGAAACAATATACATACAAGGTACATGAAAAGAACTATCATAAAACAATTGGAAAAAATGCTGTGAAATTATAGAGAATAACCTTGCCACCCCCCAAGAAAAGAGAAATACAAGACCCCTCCCTCTACTCCTCTGTAGAGCTGGGAGAGGGTATAAAACAATACTTGAGATTATTTTTTATGCTAATCAGTTTTGCTAATTTTTCCCCCTTTTTAAAAGTAATCTTCTATAAAGGAAGACTCTATGGGAGGAGGAAAAAGAAAGGAGGAAATCCAGGCACACAAATTTATCAATAAAATCAATTTTTTAAAAATGCTATTCAAACTATGATTATCAGTAATAGGAAACATCAACAAAGTCTAAATATCTTACTAAAAAATTTTAGTAATGGCTTTGAAAGCTAATTATTCAGTTAAAACTGTATGCTTAATCTTTACTTAGCTAATCAAATCATCACCTAATTTCAAAGACTAAATTCTAGAAAATAGTTTTTAAACTTATTCTTCATTGTAAATACATCCAATATTTAGAATTCCAAATTTAAACACTTAGAGAAAACTATGAAAAATATGATAATATATCCTTTCTATAATACCACTAAAGCAGCTATGTGGTATAGTGGATAGGGTGCCGGCCCTGGAGTAAGGAGGGCCTTAGTTCAAATCCAACCTCAAATCAACCATTTGCCAGTTGTGTGAGCCTTGGCTAGTCAACTAACCTTGTTTGCCTCAGTTTCCTCATCTGTAAAATGAGCTAGAGAAAGAAATGGCAAACCACTCCAGCATCTTTACTAAGAAAACTCCAAATGAGGTCACAGAGTCAAACATGCCTGAAAATAATAAAGCTATAGACATTGATTTCACATATTTTATTGGCGGGAAGAAATCAGAAAAAGCACTTAAATGTAAGTTAAGAAGGGAGCCCAGAGTGATTTGACACTGACTTTCCATAATTATAAACATTTTCCAAGGTTTGCTGACAGATTCTTTTGGGTTTTAAAACTACAAACCAAATCAAACTATCAAAATCTGCCTTGGTGATGATGGGGTTACATGCAAGGTCGGTTTTATGGGACCAATAAGGTAAATAAATGGGAGTTTGTTTTACTATTGCTGTTAAAAACATAGATGTGCTGCCTAATTGTAAAGACATAATACTTCTGAATAATGAGCTGAATTATGGGCTCAGAGCAGAGTCTTATGAGGATGCTAATTTATTAGTAAATGGAATCTGATTTTTTTTCTTTTCAATACCTTTAGGTGGGGGGAAAAGATAATAGGAAAACTAAGCATTAATTGCATTTGTAAGCTTAAATTTGGAGAATGAAGAGTCTTCTCTCTCTGCAAGGAAATAATATAAAAGATTTAGATGAAATAAATGAAGGTATGACTTAGAACCATGAAGAACAAAGCCTTCTGTATG